TTGAGACGTTTAGAAAGTGTCCGAGAACGAGTTAGAACAGAGTCCAGGTTTTCGAGGATAAGCAACGTTTTACTTGTCTAAGAACAAGCGCACATGAGCTGAAATGTACATACAAAAGTTCAGTACGAGTATATATGGTAAGTATAAGAATAAGCACACAAAAATCATGACAATCAGTTTCCACTACGAGTGGACGAGCGTAGTCTATGGTGAAGACGGCGGCCTTTTCCAAATAGTGTTTGAGGTTATCCAATGCAGCTTGTACGCTGTCTGGAATCGGGAAGATCTGATTGCGGACGATTTGATGAATCTTATCCGAGAAACATGGGATCCAGTGTGCGTAGTATGCCAGCATTCCGACCAATGTTCGTTGTGAACGGATGTCACATGGATGAGGCAACTCCCGTAGGGCTCGAAAACGTTCAGGATCCAGTTTTATCATACCGTGAGATATTTCGTATCCTAGTAATAGTACTTTCTCAGTAGCTATGATGCTCTTTTTCTGGTTAAACGTAATACCGTGACTTTTTGAGGCCTCTAGAAATTCCTTCAAATTCCAATCTTGTTCCTGGGCATCACGACCACACACGGTAATATTGTCAACATATGCGAATGTATCGAGCAGACCTTCCTCGCGTATGGTGTTGCCTATGGTGCGTTGAAAGCAGGCCACAACATTAGTAACTCCGAACGGAATGCGGCGAAATTGAAAGAGTTTACCACATGCCTCGAATGCAGTATATGGCTTGTCTTTGTCGACAATGGGGATCTGGTGGTACGCACTTTGAAGGTCTAGTGTGCTAAACACCATGTAATGGGACACCTCTACAAGTTCGTCCACCTTCGGCAGAGGATACGCATCAAGATAAGTGAAGCGATTTATCGTTTGACTGTAATCGATGACCATGCGCTTCTTATGCCTGTCATTTGTAGTAACAAGAACCTGAGCGCTCCAAGGAGAGTTAGACGGCTCAATAATTTTGTCAGCTAGTAGCTTCCGAATCTCCGTCTCGATAAATACCGTATCCGTGCGAGAGAAACGACGAGATTTTGTGGCAATTGGAATACACCCTGGGGCGAGATTATTAAACAAAGATGGAGCATTGACTTTCGCTGCTGTCAGTGTGATAACAAAGGCAGTGGAAGGATGTAGGGGACCTCGGCCGTAGCCTCTGACTCATGAGTCTGGACCGCGAGACATCGGTTGTTAGGGCTTCTTTTGGGGTTGAGACGTTTAGAAAGTGTCCGAGAACGAGTTAGAACAGAGTCCAGGTTTTCGAGGATAAGCAACGTTTTACTTGTCTAAGAACAAGCGCACATGAGCTGAAATGTACATACAAAAGTTCAGTACGAGTATATATGGTAAGTATAAGAATAAGCACACAAAAATCATGACAATCAGTTTCCACTACGAGTGGACGAGCGTAGTCTATGGTGAAGACGGCGGCCTTTTCCAAATAGTGTTTGAGGTTATCCAATGCAGCTTGTACGCTGTCTGGAATCGGGAAGATCTGATTGCGGACGATTTGATGAATCTTATCCGAGAAACATGGGATCCAGTGTGCGTAGTATGCCAGCATTCCGACCAATGTTCGTTGTGAACGGATGTCACATGGATGAGGCAACTCCCGTAGGGCTCGAAAACGTTCAGGATCCAGTTTTATCATACCGTGAGATATTTCGTATCCTAGTAATAGTACTTTCTCAGTAGCTATGATGCTCTTTTTCTGGTTAAACGTAATACCGTGACTTTTTGAGGCCTCTAGGAATTCCTTCAAATTCCAATCTTGTTCCTGGGCATCACGACCACACACGGTAATATTGTCAACATATGCGAATGTATCGAGCAGACCTTCCTCGCGTATGATGTTGCCTATGGTGCGTTGAAAGCAGGCCACAACATTAGTAACTCCGAACGGAATGCGGCGAAATTGAAAGAGTTTACCACATGCCTCGAATGCAGTATATGGCTTGTCTTTGTCGACAATGGGGATCTGGTGGTACGCACTTTGAAGGTCTAGTGTGCTAAACACCATGTAATGGGACACCTCTACAAGTTCGTCCACCTTCGGCAGAGGATACGCATCAAGATAAGTGAAGCGATTTATCGTTTGACTGTAATCGATGACCATGCGCTTCTTATGCCTGTCATTTGTAGTAACAAGAACCTGAGCGCTCCAAGGAGAGTTAGACGGCTCAATAATTTTGTCAGCTAGTAGCTTCCGAATCTCCGTCTCGATAAATACCGTATCCGTGCGAGAGAAACGACGAGATTTTGTGGCAATTGGAATACACCCTGGGGCGAGATTATTAAACAAAGATGGAGCATTGACTTTCGCTGCTGTCAGTGTGATAACAAAGGCAGTGGAAGGATGTAGGGTTTTGGGGACCTCGGCTTTGAAGGTCTAGTGTGCTAAACACCATGTAATGGGACACCTCTACAAGTTCGTCCACCTTCGGCAGAGGATACGCATCAAGATAAGTGAAGCGATTTATCGTTTGACTGTAATCGATGACCATGCGCTTCTTATGCCTGTCATTTGTAGTAACAAGAACCTGAGCGCTCCAAGGAGAGTTAGACGGCTCAATAATTTTGTCAGCTAGTAGCTTCCGAATCTCCGTCTCGATAAATACCGTATCCGTGCGAGAGAAACGACGAGATTTTGTGGCAATTGGAATACACCCTGGGGCGAGATTATTAAACAAAGATGGAGCATTGACTTTCGCTGCTGTCAGTGTGATAACAAAGGCAGTGGAAGGATGTAGGGTTTTGTTCGGGGACCTCGGCCTTAGCCTCTGACTCATGAGTCTGGACCGCGAGACATCGGTTGTTAGGGCTTCTTTTGGGGTACCTTCCCGTAGCCAATGACTCAACAGTCTGATCTACTTAACTGTAGGGGGCCGGCCTCGCCCGAGGGTGTAAGGAGTAGGGTATCACTCCTGATGCGGCTAAGTATAACAGGTACCTTTTAGTCAGCACCGGGCTCTTCGGTTTTAAAAGTACTCCGACCGTAATGGATAATGCGCCGGCGGTCACGGTCAGCCGTTGGGCGATCGGAGTGTGCGGTTTTGGGGGCCGACCTTTTCTAACCCGTCCCTCCTCGGGGGGAGGCAGCATCGCTGCTTCCATAAATATGAACTTGCTGGTCGCATGGGGGAAACGTCTTACTGTTTTCGCACTCCTATCGCAGAGGACTGTACGACTTTACCTCCAGACCGCCGCGTAATACGAATGTTTGTAGTACAGAGACTCGCTGTTCGTAAGGTGTTTCCCCCAGGCGACCAGCATGTCCATATTTATGGAAGCGGCGATGCCGCCTTACCCTGAGGAGGGACGGGTTAGAAAAGGTCGGCCCCCAAAACCGCACACTCCGATCGCCCAACGGTTGACCGTGACCGCCGGCGCATTATCCAATACGGTCGAAATACTTTTAAAGCCAAAGAGCTCGGTGCTGCTCAAAATGCACCTGCTGTGCGCAGGCAATCCAATTGCCAAGCTCGGCGAACAGACCAACAACCAAACAGCGCACCCGAGCTACCTACATTCCACAACATCGCTGTTCTTCGTCGGGCTGTTCGCCGTTGGTCTTCCTGGCATGGTTGAACATTTAGGGACTGTATAGTATAGCTCGCAGGATCATTGCAGCACAGAAGCCCGACCACCACGACAAGGTGACATTTTCGGGTTAGGTTTCGAGATACCGAATGTTTCGCTACATATGTGAGACGTTTAGAAAGAGTCCGAGAACGAGTTAGAACAGAGTCCAGGTTTTCGAGGATAAGCAACGTATTACTTGTCTAAGAACAAGTGTATATGAGCTGAAGTGTACATACAAAAGTTCAGTACGAGTATATATGGTAAGTATAAGCACACAAAAATCACGACAATATGCTGGTATGGGCAACAGAAAGTGAGCTTTTCAAGTTCTGCACCACGCTGAGGATCAGTTCAATCGTCATCTTGATGGCCGGCATTCAGTGGCCACATGATGCATATTATCAGAAAGGTCAGATTCCTGAAGGCAACTTCAGAACGCCCGGAACTTACTGCTCCACGAAAAACTCAACTGGAAAGCCGGCAAGCATCCAGACCGGTCAATCATTCAATCAATTCAGCAAAACCTGATGAGTGTTTTTGCGCGCCACAGAAGCACGACCGAATTTGGTCAGCGTTCAGGCTTTTCACAGAGGCACGATCGATGTTGATGGGTGTTCGCTACCGCCTATCAGACAGCCTGGATCAATGTCAGAAAGTCCTCTTTAAATAGCGTGGGGGCGTTGTAACTTTCGCTCTCGCACGCACTCACGCTCTTGCACCCGCTTTGTTGGAATATAGCTATTGTGTTCCCTTGTGTGAATCTTTTCTCTCCGACACTAGGCACTGGAGTGGGTCAGCAGCGGATACCACCGATCGACGAAGCAGCAGATATAACAGACTGGCGACGCCCGAACCCACAGAATCATGGCAATAACTGCTGAAGCGTTGAAAGAAATCCTGCTGCAACAAAAAAAACAGTTTGAAGGGGCACAATTACGTTTGGTGGAAACATTGACGCAGCAACTTAAAATCCAACCACCAAATTCCGCTCCAGATACAAATTCAGTCGACTCGATTGCCAACAGCATCACTAAATTCCGTTATGACCCTGATGCCAACCTAACCTTCGATTCGTGGTTCAGACGTTACGAAGATGTTTTCCAGGTCGAACTGAAGCACAAAGATGATGCCTGGAGAGTACGCTTATTGCTCAGAAAGCTTGGCACAACGGAACACACACGGTATTCCAACTTTATCCTGCCTAAGAACACGCGAGATCTCAGTTTTGACAAAACCGTGCAGCAACTTTCAATGATTTTCGGTGAGCGTTCGTCCTTGTTTAATATTCGCTACCAATGTATGAAACTGGCGAAAACGGAATCTGAGGACTACATCACTTATGCCGGTAGAGTCACCCTTGAATACGAACAATTCAAGTTATCTACCATGACGGAAGACCAGTTCAAGTGCCTTATTTTCATATGTGGTCTTCAGTCGCACTCAGACAGTGATATCTGGGCGAGACTATTGAGCAAGATTGAACAAACTCCCGAGATAACGCTGCAGTCAATTACCCATGAGTGCCAGCGCCTTTTAAATCTTAAGCATGACACGGCCATGTTGGAGAAGCCCTTATCCAACCCTGCGTTCAACATTGCCAAGACGACATCGAAGCACCCTCCCGTGGTGACAAATTCGAAAGGAGGAAAACCTTATTCAGCATGCTGGCAATGCGGCGAATGGCATTTTGTGCGATTGTGTCCGTACAAAAAGCACAAATGTTCAGTGTGCAATCGACGTGGGCACAAGGAAAGCCAGTGCCGGACGAGGAAAGCTAGCCAAAGACGCGGTCAAACCCAGAGGTCACGAAGCAAACGCAGCCAATCAGGACCGGAAGTCCGTGCTGTGGTGTTGGACACCATGAACCAACTACCCGTGACTTTTGACGCGGTGCAAGATGCCACCAAAAATGACAGCATATTACAAATGGCGATGAAGTACCACCAATCAAGCTGACCAACAACCAGTCCACCAGGGGAACTCCGGAAACTTTTTCAGCGACGGAGTTCACTATCTGTTGTCAATGGCTGTCTTATCTTTGGTGACCGAATTGTCATTCCCACTGAACTTCGTCAACGGGTCCTAGCACAGTTCCACAGTGGACATGCAGGGATAAACTGCATGAAGGCTCTTGCTCGCAGCTGTCTACTGGCCCGGTATGGATGAGCACATTGAGCAGTTATGTCGAAGTTGTTTCCGTTGCGAAGCTGCCCAGAAGTTACTCAACTGACAGTCACCTCAGCCTTGGCCACAGCCAGAAGAACCATGGTCGCGAATCCATGTGGATTTTGCCGGACCAATTAACGGACAAAGCTTCCTCATCGTTGTCGATGCATTTAGTAAGTGGCCTGAAGTCTTCATTATGTCGGAGACAACAACGATGGCAACCATCACTAAACTGCGACATTTATTTTCAATATTCGGTATCCCGGAAACAATTGTGTCCGACAATGGTACGCAGTTTACATCCCATCAGTTTAGCGAATTCGTTCGAAGACACGGCATCACACATGTTACTTCTCCACCATTCCATCCCCAATCCAACAGTCAAGTTGAACGGTTCGTTGACACCTTTAAACGTTCGTTGACAAAAGCAGAAGGGGAGGGGACCACGACAGAAGTGCTGGATACGTTCCTGCTGAACTATAGAGCAACTCCTAATCCACAGTCTCCGGACGGTCGCTCTCCAGCAGAGGTTATGATGAACAGACGGTTGAGACTTGCCCATGACGTTATCCTACCAACACTTACATGTTTTCAATCACCGACAGGAGGAAAACCAACATTCCGGCCTGGCAACCATGTGCTTGTGAAGAACTATCGCCCTGGGCACCGAAGATGGACTGTTGGAGTCGTCCTCAAAAGAATCGGTCAGGTGATTTACAGCGTCCAAGTGGGATCATTGATATGGAAACGACATGTCAATCAATTACGGCCGACTGAGCGTCAGATCCCAAAGGCGGAAGAACAGTTACTAGACCTCAAACTACTGCTTGAAACCTTTGATCTCTAAAAGACCAGCACCTATAGCCACTGCCTCGCGTGTACCGCTCAAGACAGATCCATTGCTGCAACCAAGACGCCGTACCGGTCGCACCAGAAAAAGGGTGGAACCTCTACAACTTGATCCCCGTCGAAAAGCTTATGTTGAACGTTCAGAAGGGGGAGGTATCAGGAAGGTCAGCTTCCTGAAAGCAACCACTGAACGCCCGGAACCTACGGAGACTCTCAGCTCCGCTGGGTGTTGACCAGACAGACAACGCCCCCTCAATATGCAGCGCGTCACAGCCTTGCATCAAACCCAGACAGCGCGAGTCAGCGTTGATCAAGGACAGACAACGCCTCCGCAGTATGCAGCACGTCGCTGCCTCGTACTAAAGCCAGACCGCGTGCGTCAGCATTGGACCAAGTTCAGACAGTGTCCTTCCAATAAAAAGCTTGAGGCCGTTGTACTTTTCGCACTCGCGCTCTCGCACTCACTTTTTTGGAATATAGCTATTGTGTTCCCTTCCGTGAGCCTTTTTCTCTCCGACACTAGGCACTGGAGCGGGTCAGCAGCAGATACCACAGGCCGGCGAATCAGCAGATATAACAGACTGGCAACGCCCGAACCCACAGAATCATGACAATAACTGCTGAAGCGTTGAGAGAAATTCTGCTGCAACAACGAAACCAGTTTAAAGAGGCGCAATTACGTTTGGTGGAAACATTGACGCAGCAACTGAAAATTCAACCACCAAATTCCGCTCCAGATACAAATTCAGTCGACTCGATCGCCAACAGCATCACTGAATTCCATTATGACCCTGATGCCGGCCTAACCTTCGATTCGTGGTTCAGACGTTACGAAGATGTTTTCCAAGTCGAACTGAAGCACAGAGATCATGCTTGGAGAGTACGCTTATTGCTCAGAAAGCTTGGCACAACGGAACACACACGGTATTCCAACTTTATCCTGCCTAAGAACACACGAGATCTCAGTTTTGACAAAACCGTGCAGCAACTTTCAATGATTTTCGGTGAGCTTTCGCCCTTGTTCAATATTCGCTACCAATGTATGAAACTGGCGAAAACGGAATCTGAGGACTACATCACTTATGCCGGTAGAGTCAACCTTGAATGCGAACAATTCAAGTTATCTACCATGACGGAAGACCAGTTCAAGTGCCTTATTTTCATATGTGGTCTTCAGTCGCATTCAGACAGTGATATCAGGGCGAGACTATTGAGCAAGATTGAACAAACTCCCGAGATAACGCTGCAGTCAATTACCCATGAGTGCCAGCGCCTTTTAAATCTTAAGCACGACACGGCCATGTTGGAGAAGCCCTTATCCAACCCTGCGTTCAACATTGCCAAGACGACATCGAAGCACCCTCCCGTGGTGACAAATTCGAAAGGAGGAAAACCTTATTCAGCATGCTGGCAATGCGGCGAATGGCATTTTGTGCGATTGTGTCCGTACAAAAAGCACAAATGTTCAGTGTGCAATCGACGTGGGCACAAGGAAAGCCAGTGCCGGACGAGGAAAGCTAGCCAAAGACGCGGTCAAACCCAGAGGTCACGAAGCAAACGCAGCCAATCAGGACCGGAAGTCCGTGCTGTGGTGTTGGACACCATGAACCAACTACCCGTGACTTTTGACGCGGTGCAAGATGCCACCAAAAATGACAGCATATTACAAATGGCGATGAAGTACCACCAATCAAGCTGACCAACAACCAGTCCACCAGGGGAACTCCGGAAACTTTTTCAGCGACGGAGTTCACTATCTGTTGTCAATGGCTGTCTTATCTTTGGTGACCGAATTGTCATTCCCACTGAACTTCGTCAACGGGTCCTAGCACAGTTCCACAGTGGACATGCAGGGATAAACTGCATGAAGGCTCTTGCTCGCAGCTGTCTACTGGCCCGGTATGGATGAGCACATTGAGCAGTTATGTCGAAGTTGTTTCCGTTGCGAAGCTGCCCAGAAGTTACTCAACTGACAGTCACCTCAGCCTTGGCCACAGCCAGAAGAACCATGGTCGCGAATCCATGTGGATTTTGCCGGACCAATTAACGGACAAAGCTTCCTCATCGTTGTCGATGCATTTAGTAAGTGGCCTGAAGTCTTCATTATGTCGGAGACAACAACGATGGCAACCATCACTAAACTGCGACATTTATTTTCAATATTCGGTATCCCGGAAACAATTGTGTCCGACAATGGTACGCAGTTTACATCCCATCAGTTTAGCGAATTCGTTCGAAGACACGGCATCACACATGTTACTTCTCCACCATTCCATCCCCAATCCAACAGTCAAGTTGAACGGTTCGTTGACACCTTTAAACGTTCGTTGACAAAAGCAGAAGGGGAGGGGACCACGACAGAAGTGCTGGATACGTTCCTGCTGAACTATAGAGCAACTCCTAATCCACAGTCTCCGGACGGTCGCTCTCCAGCAGAGGTTATGATGAACAGACGGTTGAGACTTGCCCATGACGTTATCCTACCAACACTTACATGTTTTCAATCACCGACAGGAGGAAAACCAACATTCCGGCCTGGCAACCATGTGCTTGTGAAGAACTATCGCCCTGGGCACCGAAGATGGACTGTTGGAGTCGTCCTCAAAAGAATCGGTCAGGTGATTTACAGCGTCCAAGTGGGATCATTGATATGGAAACGACATGTCAATCAATTACGGCCGACTGAGCGTCAGATCCCAAAGGCGGAAGAACAGTTACTAGACCTCAAACTACTGCTTGAAACCTTTGATCTCTAAAAGACCAGCACCTATAGCCACTGCCTCGCGTGTACCGCTCAAGACAGATCCATTGCTGCAACCAAGACGCCGTACTGGTCGCATCAGAAAAAGGGTGGAACCCCTACAACTTGATCCGCGTCGAAAATCTCACGTTGAACAGTCAAAAGGGGGAGGTATCAGGAAGGTCAGATTCCTGAAAGCAACTTCAGAACGCCCGGAACTTACTGCTCCACGAAAAACTCAACTGGAAAGCCGGCAAGCATCCAGACCGGTCAATCATTCAATCAATTCAGCAAAACCTGATGAGTGTTTTTGCGCGCCACAGAAGCACGACCGAATTTGGTCAGCGTTCAGGCTTTTCACAGAGGCACGATCGATGTTGATGGGTGTTCGCTACCGCCTATCAGACAGCCTGGATCAATGTCAGAAAGTCCTCTTTAAATAGCGTGGGGGCGTTGTAACTTTCGCTCTCGCACGCACTCACGCTCTTGCACCCGCTTTGTTGGAATATAGCTATTGTGTTCCCTTCTGTGAATCTTTTCTCTCCGACACTAGGCACTGGAGTGGGTCAGCAGCGGATACGATCGATCGACGAAACAGCAGATATAACACAGATATTTGAGCTTGTTTATTGAGTGGAGTCGAATAGGACCTGGAGTTGACTCTAAACTTACTGGGTCAGCAGCGGATACCACCGATCGACGAAACAGCAGATATAACACAGATATTTGAGCTTGTTTATTGAGTGGAGTCGAATAGGACCTGGAGTTGACTCTCGGGAAACTTACTGCCGAATGCCAGCCGATTCTCCAATGACGGGACATTTTCAGTCTGACATGGTATGCAGCTTAACTTCCAAAGGTATTGGGGATATCAAAAGGGCGATTCAATTCCATGCGAACCCCAATAAAACTGTCCACACCTTTTTGGTTTTGTGCTCCCATCGGAAGCGCATACTCTAGGTACCATCAAAGAAGCTACAAAGAAGAATATTACAGAGACAACTTCGGGAGCCCGCACAAACACTCAGACCTTGTCATTCAGGATGAAGCCACTCGGTCAATGGTGTATGCAACCTGACACAGGTTCTGACCTCACTGAAAAACAAACCTATGCAGCTTAACTTCCAAAGGTATTGGGGATATCAAAAGGGCGATTCAATTCCATGCGAACCCCAATAAAACTGTCCACACCTTTTTGGTTTTGTGCTCCCATCGGAAGCGCATACTCTAGGTACCATCAAAGAAGCTACAAAGAAGAATATTACAGAGACAACTTCGGGAGCCCGCACAAACACTCAGACCTTGTCATTCAGGATGAAGCCACTCGGTCAATGGTGTATGCAACCTGACACAGGTTCTGACCTCACTGATTTCAAAACAAACCTGGAACTCATGTGGAAGGCTGTCAGTTGAATGTAAGGTTCACCGTTCATAATGCGTGTGGTGGAAGCTTCAAACTATCACCAGTCCCCAGTCCTATGATTCAACAGTGTGCCACTGCCATCTACAAAGCCAGGGCAGACTGGCAGAAAGGATACCAAATCAGTCGCACGAAATTCCCGTGCTGTTTCGAGGACATTGTGAACTCTATCCAGGGTTGATGTCGGGTCGATACTGTGTCAAGCACACGACTCTGGTCAGATCCTAGGTGTAAGTGCGTCAAGCGGATAAACGTCAGGCAGTAGACTATAACCCCACGTCTCATAGAACACCGGACAACCATTGCATGGCTCTTTAGTGCGCTGGTTGAACCATCTGTACCAGATTAGCTTAAGTGATTAGAGCACGAATCTACTGACCGGAAGGTCCGTGGTTCGAATCCGACCTCTGCATCTCGACTCTCCTGTTTAGGCTTGGACAACCTGGCAGTACCCCAGCCCTCGTGCTTCCTTCTGGTGGCATGGCAGTTAGACACCGAAAGGGTACTACAGCCAAACCGGATCAGCCCAGCATCATCACTACCCCAGGAATGGACCTACAAACACCTGCTCCCTGAGCCATCACAGTTTGAATCAAAACAGTGGTCGGACGAACCGGGTCCTCAAGGAGGAAGTGTTTCCTGAAGCAAGCTGTTAGACCAAATCCTGCACTAAAACCCCTTCATCGCTCGCATTTAGGCGCTTCTACGGCCAAGAAGCTTAACCCGGACGCAATTGATCAGAAGATCGGTGTGACATGTAGGATGTATCTAACAACGAGTTAGCATAGATTCCCAGTTAGAGAATAAGCAACGCTCGACTTGTCTATCGTGGATGAGCTAAAATGTACATACAGAGATTCACTGCGAATATACGGTGATTACAATAATAAGCAAACAGCAGTCGTGATATTCGCCACAGCGAATTCTGAATGGGCACTTATAAACTGACGTGGCTAGGGGATGATGTACTGTGTCAGGCTTCTCTGTTTATCAACCTGTATGGATGAACGGGTCACTGGTCTATAATTCTAGGATAACTCAATTGGTCTTCAGATAACGGTATCAAACAGGGTTCAGATGCTTCGGAGCTATCGGGCGGACGCCGACTGTTTCAGTCATAACTTGGCGTTCGGTGTCTATTGGATTCAGACGGATTGAGAACATCGTCGGATTTATCCCGAAAAGGGGGGGGGCTAGGTATTGATGGGCAATTTGTGCATAGTGGGTTGCAGTTTAGGCGGTCACTTTCCTCTACTGGCGATCGAGACTTAGATAACCAATCATTTTTCAGCAACAGGACTGAACTAGGGGTGTTCAGCCAAGATGTCCCAAAGGTTAAGTGACGTGTATACTGTTGTGGAGTACAGTTGATGGCGGTACATGAGTGTCCGGAGGCTGTGTGCATCAGGAAGTACTGATTTCCAATGAGTTGGTGGCAGATGATGATTTTTATGCTAGTCCCACTGTTTTTCATAGGTTACCGTTACCGAGTCTAGACCGTAGAAGTTGAGATACTGCAGTTGAGTTCGAACCACGGACGTTCAAGGCCAGTTTACGCCGTAGCCACTAAGTTCTTTCGAGATTAAGATGATGATGAAACGGGCGACGCAGAGGCGACAGTCAACGGGTATCCAATGAGTAGAGACGCTTCCGCTCGGAAGCTGAACACTATTCCGGCCGGGACATGTCCAGCTGCAACGGACTCTGCCTCACCTGGTGTACGCAGCCGGTAGCGGGAAGAGAGCGAGGGGTGATCAGTTCAACTCTCGTACTTGAGTCTGATCCTTATCTCTGGCAGACACACCAATGGTAAGAGAATCCAGCTTACAAGGAAGAGGCCCTTGTTGTCCTGCTTGCTTCGATGGGAACATTAAAGACAGATAATTAGACCGGCTTTCAGGATTTGGAAACAGTCCGAATGGTTTACGGTTGCCAGTGGAGTCGAATGCACATAAACTGCAGCTACTGGTGATGCATGGCGAACAAGTTGTGCTACCCGCAGAAAAAGTATTTATATTTGGGTGGTTTATGACAAAAAGGAATACGTGAAGGTATAATAAAAGAGGCAGAAGCATGTTTCCACTTACCCACCCTGCTGTGTGCAGCAATTTAGGCGTCCCGGCCCATGAAATCCTGCGACAATATTTTTATTTGTGACGTTTATGTTTGTTCATAGCATTAGGAGTGAGGTTTATACGTTTCTGCGTTTTCGGGCATGACCAGTCCCCCGCATCCATTCGGGTCAGACTGTTGAAACACTAGCTTCGGGGAGCTGCCTTGTTGGTCAAATTTTTTAGTTACAGGATACGGTCAGTTCATTGGAACCATACGCTACATTCTGCATTGTCTTGCGAGTCAAAAATTTAACGGGCTCCCGTTCGTTAACCTGGTCATGCGCCATATATTCACCCGTGCATCTCCTCATTTACCGGCTTTTATCCATCATATCCCCACCAATCAAATGATACACTGGGATATTTTACTTTGGTTTAGTCCCCTGTCATAATGACTTGGATTTCATGAAGAAGCACTGTCACCCAGTCTAGATCGGCCAGGCAGGACATATGTTGGAGTGGTTCAAAACGTTCCAAATGACTTAAGTTAAAGGTGCATGTCCTGTGTATAAAGGCTGTGAGGTTTTTTTTACTGAAATCAAGGAAGGCTGAATGTGTCATTTAGACCCTTTCAGGTATGTGTGACTCACCCTCGTACAGCAACGCCCAAGTTGCTATGTACATTCCTTTTTGAATTGCTTACGCCTATTCGTTATTGTATATCACAGCCGATTACTCGGTTATGTTAATTAAAGTTTCGATACTTCCAAGGACCAGTGGTAGGCCATCGTACACCGCTTCCTGAGTATACCTTATTTCTGGTTGCTAATTTTAGAGTTGCACACTATTGAGTGCTTTGGGAGCGGAGTAACCTGGACTGACGCTTTTGTTCCGCAGATTGCCTTCATGCATACATTTTTCCTTTTTATAGGGATGCCCCTCTCGAGTAAAGCTCGAGTGTATGCGGATGTGAACCTGAACCGCCCAAGAGAATACTGGGACTATGAAACTTACGATATCAAATGGGGGTACGTTGTGTGTTCACGGAGGACTTTTACACGGAGTTAACAGTGATCAAGATGACTACCAAATTGTGCGTAAGCTTGGTCGGGGGAAGTACAGTGAAGTGTTCGAGGGTGTCAATATCACAACAAATGGAAAATGTGTGATTAAAGTTCTTAAAGTACACTCTTTTAAACCATGTTGTTAATCCACACATGTTTTCAGCCAGTCAAAAAGAAGAAAATTAAGCGGGAGATCAAGATTCTGGAGAATCTTCGTGGGATCACAAACGTGATTTCTCTTGAGGCTGTTGTGAAGGACCCTGTGGTAGGTCGCTTTAATGTCGATTGATTGCAAATATTTTTCAGTCGCGCACTCCTGCACTCATTTTTGAGTATGTCGACAACAGGGACTTTAAAGAACTTTACCACACTCTCACGGACTATGATATTCGGTATTACATGTTCGAGCTTCTCCGTGCCCTAGACGCATGTCATAGCATGGGTATTATGCATCGGGACGTGAAACCACACAACGTCATGATCAATCATTCCCAGCGACAGGTACTACCACAACTGTTCGATTGCTAATACTGCCTGTTCTATAGCTCCGTCTGATAGATTGGGGTTTGGCTGAGTTTTATCACCCGGGTCAAGAGTATAACGTTCGGGTTGCATCTCGTTACTTTAAAGGACCAGAACTGCTAGTCGACTTTCAGGTAAATTTCAACTTTTGGTCACTCTTATCAACATTACAACTTCTCCCGACAGATGTACGACTACTCTCTTGATCTGTGGTCACTGGGTTGTGTTTTTGCAAGTATGATATTTCGAAAAGAACCGTTTTTCCACGGTCATGACAACTATGACCAACTTGTCCGGATAGCTAAAGTCCTGGGTACTGATGAGCTCTTCCAGTATCTTGCCAAGTACGAAATCACGTTAGATCCTCGTTTTAATGATATACTTGGACGGCACACAAAGAAACGATGGGATCGCTTTGTGCATGCAGACAATCAACATTTGGTTAGCCCAGAAGCAATTGACTTCCTGGACAAGCTACTACGTTACGATCATGCTGAACGTCTGACTGCTCGCGAGGCTATGGAACATCCCTATTTTTGTAAGTCACGCTTTGATTTTATGTACCTAATTACTGCAGATGGGATTGTTCAAGAACACGGCGGTCGTGTTCCAGCTTCTGCAAACCAAACCAATTCGACGGGGAACAAAAAATCAGGTACGTTTGGAAAATGATACCACGTTATGGTGGCTTTGTTTCACTGTTAGCTAGTACCAATACTCCAGAACATTATCGTTAGTACCATAAATTACGTAACAATAAGAATCGCTCTGCTGTGATATAATTTCGTCGCACAACCGGTGTGCGCAGACGAGGAAGCCCGAAGGCTAGGTCAATAAAGCCTAGGCAAGAGCGATGGAAAAGTCAAGGTTGGATTTGAATCACAAACCATTCTATCGGTATCTTCGCGCCTAAACTTCCTCACTGTTTCGACCTCTTTGGTGTTCTACTGAAGCCATTTACTTGTACAGAGGTGGGTAATTTGTGCTCTTGAGGTTTATGCGCGCGCAGGTCGGATATTGTTACCTGCGTCAGAAATCCACGGGCGAATTCCTAGAATTTGTTGCGGTCTCTAATTATGTATCAATCAGACATGTCAGTTACACCGGATTCTAGATGATAAACGACCTTGAGGAGGTTGTACTGAAAACAACTGAACCGTTCCGTGATTTTGATTCAAGTGAACCAGAATGTAAAAAGCAAACAGTCCAATAGGACATCAATGAAATGAATGAGATGAAGAAAGCAAGGTTCCGGTTTGCATGATAAATTGTTAGCGAAATTGATTTGTTTGTTTGGAGGCTTGAACAGTCAAATATTTGTATCTTCTTTAATACGCCCTAAGTTCCTAAAAAGATGAACTTCGGGATTCGATGCCTCATTGGACGAAGCTGCCAAAGACGAACCATGGACGGTTCATTTCCATGAAGAGTCTGTGGCCGTTAAAATTGCATTTTTTTCAGAATCCGAAGCTCTAAACATAACATTTCCGTCGTTTTTGGTAACGGTGGACAGTCTCTAAGTTCTTACACTGACCATCTGTATTCGGTGAGCTTAACTTTCGGACATCTGGACATCTTAGTACGTAACACGTACGGAACATTGGATCGTCCATGTCACATTGCAGTCGGTCGTCGATGTCGGTTTAATGCAAGGCTGCTGTTTCCACTGGAACACTGGAGTGAACCCATGTCACACGTTGGCGTGCACAAAAAACGCGCTTCTGTGGACCAGTGGCACATCGCCCAGGTCGAACTTACTTAGAAGCGTTCCGGAGTGATGTCGCCACGAATTTGTCGCTGTTTCGAACGCATCGACGAATTGAGAATCTGTTAGGCTTGTTTTATCTTCCTATCGGAATCAGTGTTTGTGGAGACGAAAACGGATTCACCGAGTCGATACAGGATCGCCCTGACTACTAGACCGCCGAAAAATTCTAGTTGCTAGGTCGTACCGTCGGGTACAACTAACAATTGAAAATCAACGTCCAAAAAGCCTGGAAATCAAGAGACACGATGGGGGACAGGTACTGAAGAAGTGGAGCGTGCCTTTAACATTGGCAATAGCCGGCGTCTCTTCTCCCTACTCTAATCGCCCGGCCCATGGCGCACAATTTAGCGAGACTACCTATGGGCTCGAAGACGCTGCTGCCATCGGATCGGTCTATGGAAAAGACACTCTACTGACTCACCCGATCCACAGCATTCCTGTCTCGTAATCAGTCAAACCGCATGGTTGCTCGGTTTTCTGTTATGTATAGTGGTGCGTGTTTAAGAGATCTTGCGATTGCAAAGGACATTAACCTCCGGTGATAGGGATGGGTCCTTTATGCTCGTGTGCTCAGTAGTTGTTCCCGGTTTACGATGCAACAGATGGTCCCCAGATGGGTGTGCCCAACGCGAAGGAAAGTTTACAGGCCTGTTGTGGCCTGTCATGTCCATCATCCCTTTGTCAGCTTTCTACGAATCGCATTTACATACCATCCTCGACCCAACTACCTAAAACCGCATGTAAGATCCAGTTGTCTACTTTTGAATGCTTTGTTTATATCCCCGAACAACCCCTCCAGTCATTATCATCCCTCAAGGACATTGTTGCTTCGGAAAGACAACAGACATGCTGTGGACTCCTCTGGACTGAATGCGCATCAGCTTTATCACTGATGTCATACTGATTGTCATACTACGAACTATTCATGAGAAAGACACGGATGGTCACTTTTTCCCCTTACTCTGATGCGTCTTGCGCCTCTTTGGTGATGAATAACCGGAAGGGTTTGACTTTAGACTTCCAGACTGCTAGTGAAGCCAAGTATTGGGCCATCAACCTGACAGCCCCATTACTGCTCGTCCGTCAAACGCGAGCATATCCGTGTTATCAGCCGTGACATCGCAGAGGTCCGCTTTACGCTTTTATCAAGTGATCGAAACCAAGACGTCAGTTTGTCGAGGATGGTTTCTGGTGATCAAGGTCCAATAAGTGTCATTACTCAAGAGTTCTGCGTATGGGTTCCTGGTCATCACAGTTTGCCTTTGGTTTCATCTGCCCCATCGTTTGTGCGGTATGTATGCTTGATTCCTCACTAACAGTGAATGAAACGTTAGCTTTTAATACAGCGTCCTCTCCTAGTTAATTTTCATGTTTTACGACTGTTGTGCATAGGTGAGTGAGCGGAACAAGAGTGTTTTGGAGAGGCTTCGTATGAATTGGATAAATATTTCCCCTTTCCAATCACTGTTCGCACGTCCGGTTTTTAGTTCATCAAGTTAGGTATTCGTTGTTTAAAGACCTATGAATGTTTGCGTTTCAGAAACGTCTCTCCAACGACATCCTTGCTTTCGGAACATCCTATTCCGAAAGAATATCGAATTCCATCGACTACGCTGGCGGTACTGCTTTTTCACTAGCTCTCCAAATAAAACGAAAAATCCTATTTGACCGGCACATTCCAGCTGCGTTTCAATCGAAATGTGGTTCTGTTGAATATATCGTACCCAACTATTTTCATATGACATGAGCTTCAGGTTGCTGGTGGCCTTCACCAAACTGTTGTGAAGGATGTGTGAGGGAGAGAACCGAGATGACTTATAGATTGAACGGTGTGGGTGCCTTCCTCAGCAAATGTTTATTGACTACGATGGACTACAGTAGACTTGTGGAGTGCAAAAACAGTGTTTTTAGTGAAATGAATCCTCAGGTGATTTCGACTTTGACGGTGCGTCAGGCGGAATCATCCGACAAAGCCACATTTGCGTTCGCACTTAGGCGCTGCAGTGACCAAACAAGCCTACTTTGCACGTGTTTGGTCAGGAGATCGTGTCGCCCGCTTGTCCAGCATTAAGGCGTGCTGAATACCCGTTTCCAATAGCACGTTCAAATTTCGAGAAGGTACTGTACATGGCATGTAAGTGTTGGAGCTTCTAAGCTACAGAAAGACTGACGATAGCATTTAGTACTTTTTTAGTCACAAAACCAACCCGCACTTTGTCGACCATTACTTCGGAAAAGTTCCAGTCATGCATTAGATAGAGTGAGACGTCGACGTGGATGATTATGCTCGTGGTTCCGGAACTTTTACGTTGCAATCCCGTTCTCGAATGGTTTGACGGTCGCGGTTAATTTTTCACCCTATTAATACATTTTCTGATCGAATTCGTCGTTGTTTTAAATTCTTATCCATTTGCCTGGTGTAGTAACGGTATTTTCCTCAGCTTAGTTCTCGGTCTGAACCCCCCAAGCTAGCGTTCACATCAAAACAACCACCAAAGGTGCACAAGGTCTATTAACGCCAAAAAACGAAGTCAAGAACAGTTGTACAGCGCTTCGTATGTATAGCGTAAGCGGTTATAACTTTCTGGAATTTCTGACGCGTTCTGGATGCGCCATTGGCAACCGGCATTTGGCCAATACTGGGTCATGATCCAGATTGTTGACCAATCAGATCTCGTCTTGATGCCGGACCGGCAAGCGTCCCGAATTCTGGACCAACCTCGAGCGGACCAGGCTTCTCGGCCGTAGCAGCGCCTAAAGACGTGCGGTATAGTGGGATCCGCGTGGATTCCTGCCTAACACCGGGTATCGGTCTTCGTCATATTGTTTGAGACAAGTTTATTAGTCACGTTGATTGATCGACTCCACGTTCTGGCATTCAGACATGTGATCTCCTTAGCACTGTGTCTTATGGAGCTTTTGTGCATTTTGTTTGTACGAATGCCTGAACAAACAGAGAGATGCGTTACCGCTGCACACTGTGAAGTATTTGGATGACTGAGTACATGCACAAGCCGTTCATTACTGTACCAAACTGAAGCTGTGGGAAATGAAGTTACGTTTACTAGCAATCGGTTGTTTGAGGCTCACCATATCCATGTGCATGCGTACTGTAAAGTGCAACAGCTATTCCTAGATCTCCATGTAACTATAAGTACTGTATGGTTGTGAGATATGACCTCTCTGGACAGATGATCTGATGCGTCTTCAGATTTTTTATCACCGATGTATCAGAATTACTGCTGAAGCGAATTCGTAATGAGGTAATTACAAAGCTGATATTTATTTGTGCAGAGAACGCTTCAGTCGCGGAAAATATCCAGCAACATCAGCTATGGTGAACCAACTAAGTGCTACGCATGCCGTCTACCGAGCCGACTGCTTTTCTTGGTGGCTCTTCCAGAACAACGTAAACCCCAGGTTAGGAAACGTAACTTTGCAGAGTGGCGTGAAGGAAATTATGGAGAGTCCAGCTATTGTTGGTCCGGTCCGCCTTCCAGAATGGGGTCCCCGTGACCCCCTTGCACTTGGCTTGAGACATTGCGAGAAATGGCCGCTGATCGATTCCGGTGTCTGATGTTCCACCCACTTTTTATCGAGCAACACGACGAGTGTTTTACCGTCATGTTCAGATAAGGGCCATCATTCTAGCAAATTAGCCGAAGGCAACACTTCGACACGAGCTTCTGATGTCGTTCAACTATCAAATTTCTGTTTTTGCCTATTAACGTGTCATTCGCAGTGTCAAACTTTGGAAACGTTCCTAGTGAGTTCTTCGGAATGGTTACTTTGATGTTTGTCTGGAGGAGTGAAATAATTGAAGTTCGCTAATTACTCCATTGGAAATAAATCCATTGTCATGTGATAGATGCGTCAACTGGGGATGTCTGCCTTCACAATTGCGACTGAATTTTCCTCTCTGCTAACTTCATGTGTCCGTTTGAGTAGACCGTATTCTGTCATATTCAAATGTATTTTACAAGTTATTGCTATCGCATATCTAAGATCACGCAGATACAGTAATTCCTCCCAGCAACGTATCCATCCCAACGGAGATCAGTCATCACTATCGAAAGTATGACAGCAGTGTTCAATAATGATGCTTCGCTGCCGTTTGTCATGACTAGTCCTTGAGGGACTACTGTATATATTCCTGATGGGCGATGAGGCTGGATATTTTTACACGTCATGACTGGTGCAACTGAAACAAGCCGCACATCCATAGATCAGTCCAATGAGTCTAAGAGGACCTAAGACAGCTCAAGGTTCATATCATAACCTACTGACCCCGGCGTCCGTTCTTCAAATCCATACCTGTCCTCGAAATAGCTGTGATCTGTCAGTATCTCGATCCTTGCACCTCGTTCATGTTCTGTGTTTCCTGCGCACACAGGCAAGCTTCTCATTGGTTGCTGGGGACCTCTAAGAACTTTCTACTTAGACGTTTCTCAGTTCATCACAAAGAAAGCCTTTTCACAGCTTCATATTTTGCATATCCATTGAGCTACACTAAGAGGTTTGTGTGGCGTCCTATATTCTTGCTGGTTTTCCTGACCGATAGTTCGGGTTAGACTGAAACATTCGAGGCGATTTGTCCCTTAATGGTTAGGCTACTTTTATAATCCTATACCGACCGCTAGTATCTTGCATTCATGCAGTCGAGATGAACGCTTTTTGAGGACCATAGTTCTTCAAGCTGACCAAGCCTGGAGTCACCACAGTATCCCAGCAGCTTCACGGGCACTACTTACGTCCACAAAACAAATATCATCCTAAAATGTCCGTCGAGTAATAACATCAACCGAGATGCTATATCCGAGGCATGCTCTAGGATTGGCAAGAGAAACGGTCGGTGTTGTATCCCGATGCCCTTAGAACCGGGCATTTTGTTGGTCGTTCTTCTGTATGACGGTTGAGTATCGTAACTGTTCACAACGATGGCGAGAATGGCTTACCAACGTACGTCTCAACACTATCTCTCTATGCTTTAGGTTTAAGGAGGTCCTCCATGCCATCCAGATTGTGGTTGGGCGATTGATTTGCTGACGTTCCATCATTATCTGAAGGGACAGTGCAATGTTAGGTGGATGCTTCCTCCTCTCATACTTTCGTTTATAGTTTAGCTGTGAAAAGCATATATATCTAGTAGCAGTTTTCCGTAAAATGGTCAAAACACCATTCAGAATCACTAATATCTGTGGGAATATTTGCACTCCTACCAAAGTACAAAATTTCATTCACTACTCTGGCTTTTTCTTCCATGCCTCAATGCAGGTTTGCGCATCCATCGGCTTTAGCGCCTTACGGATAACCGAATAAGCAAGCTCGAAAGGGGATAGTGTGCTGATTAGGTCTCCGCAAATGAACAGGTGTGTCTCCGCTCACAAACCTCAGGTGCAAAGCGTCGCAGTTATTTCTAACCCGTAGGCACGCACATGCAAGCACGACCGCCTTTTCCTGTTCAGCGCTTGATCCTTGTTCACTCGTTAGCTTCGCTTGTATTTCTTGTCAAAATACGACACCGCATCAGCCCATTAGCAAACTGGCCACATTCGGAATCAATAGCGAGGGAGGTGCTGGTAAACAAAGTCTACAACACAGCGATGCTGTCTTCATCCTTTTTTTATGACGGGATTGAGTTTAATGTCCCTTACCCAGTTAAGCTAATCTTAGAATCATATAACGTGTCTCTTTTCGATTTGGAGAGGATTTGTTTATGAAATTTCGGCCTCATCTAAGTTGGTTCAAAATATCTGGGGATTCATCTCTTGAATAGTGCCGAAAGCATATTGTTTCTATGATAGTGGGCGATCCAACTCGATTTCTCAGTGAAATTGTCAGATACTATTCAGTATCTGTTCAGTCATACACAAAGTTGATATACATTGTCGATATTCTCGGCTATCCTCAAATTGAAGCATCACTAAAACCCAGATTTAATTCTATTCAGATTTTCGACTATAGACTTAATTACCGAGGTCAGATGAGTTCAAGCATTCTGTTACAGCAGTACTGTTATAGCAGGAGACCACCACCAGCAAGCGACTTATTTTAGTCATATCTTGAAGCATGATTTTCCGTCGTTCTTACCCGTATGCTTGCCTTTACGCCATAAAACCAATTCCAAAGTGAAGAGATCTCATTAATCCTCCATGTTGGGAACCACGAATTTATGGAAAAGTTCCACTTGTTGGACGAAACGAAGACCATTGTCAGGTAGTTCTTCAGCCTAATTACCAGCAAATTCGAAGCGCGATGGTTCCATTTGAACGGGATTGTAAGTCGGTGCAAATCACTGATTGGCTGAAATGTATCTAAGAGGTCGGCGAGTGTAGAACTGAAATGAGATGGGACCAGGTAGAGTCAGAGAGACCTAGGGAGACGGATGAGGTAATAGAAAATGTCCTAGTATGTGTAGCAAGAAAGTGTGTGCATTGTCGCCTTCATCATCATCATCATCATCATCGACAGCATGACATCAGTGTTCAACACCGATGCTTCGGTGCCATACAATCATGACTTATTTGAAAGCCTTATGGTAAAGAAAAAAACAAAGGTGGATGGGGGAGGAACTTAGTGCTAGCTTAGCACAATCATTCCGAGGTGCCTACACCCCCAGACATTCACTCAGGCAATCTGGACAGAAACTGCCTGGTTGGAGACACTACAAGATATGGCTGCGGATGTCAGTGGCGTTCTTGTTGTCAGTGTCGTCTTCGCAGTCCAGAATCCCAGTGTGGAAAAACATCTTTCGCTAGACAGCTGGTGATATAAGACGATTCTGCTTCACAGCAGGAGACCAAGTAAGTGTCCAGTGTTATTCGTCTAATTGTCAGTAAAAAAAGTTATATCGGATGGGGGATCCGATTAGTGTTTGCACATCGAATTGCCATTCAGTTGTTCAGGCTTAATTGTAAGGAGACGTGTGGCGTAATGCCCGAAGGTGAACGACACCACTCACAGAAGTTGCATCGCTACATCGCTTCCAACGATTTGGATAAACATCTTGCCCTAACTCTAAATGGTCTTTCTTGATGACGTTTTTTGCAGTAGTAGAAATTACGTCCATTACTTGCTTGTTTTGTAATGCACGTGAACACTGCAGTTTTGTTTAGCCGTTGAGATGTTGCGTGGTTTATCGCGATGCACATGCACCTACCGATAACATCTTCAGTTTTGTTTCACAAATACTTGTACTGTTTTCTGGTAACATTATTCACCATCTAGTGTACTATACCCTATCGTCTGAAGAGACGCTCTACCAAAAGGGGTCTTGTCCGAAAAGGATTTAATAATTGAAATATGCTTGAAAAGACAGTTACCAGCAGTCTTTTATACGGGGGGTTCAATCCGAGAGGGAACAGTTGTGTCTGCCGGAATAAATGTGTTATCCTTATCGGTCGGTCAGCTCTCCCTTGTTTAATTTTGTTTGGAAATGTCACTGTAAGTCGGATAGCTTTTGACGATGTTTCCTATACCGCAACCGTTGGATAAACGTCAACTCGCCCATATTTGCATGCAGAGGAGCGCCATGAAGAGCCAGTAAATTAATTTTCTTCCGAAAACTAGTCAAAGTTACTGAAATGAACTTCACTAAAATCCTTCAAACACCAACACCTGAAATATGAGCTGAATTTGTTTCTCTGCTCTTTCTCTTCCAGCGAACTCGACACCAAGCGGCACGGCACCGTCCCCCTCGCGCCAATCATAGCGTATCCCGGAGTGTACTTCTAAATCCAAAGTCAATCACCAAGTCCCTTCTGTCACATGAACTTGTACAGAGCTGAGCCGTTTTAGCGCTACTATTCGCTACCTTCCTTTGTTTTTTGTAAACCTTCCCTGTTCTGCATTCAAGCTCCGGTTTACGTTGCAATCCACCCATATGCTCCGCCAATTCGTAACAAAGATCAAGATGAATTTCTACGAACATTTCATTTGTTCATCGTCCACAACTGCCCGTTTCTCGACTTTTTACATCCCTTCTTTTAAGGCATTTGGGACACTGGTATCCTCTACGCCTTTATGATCGTTCTTCGTCTCTCTGATTTCGTTAAGATGTGCTGCTCCTTACAAACGAAGTACATCCATCCCTGACATGAACAACCCATTCTCCCGGTTGGATGATCTTCACTGCACATGAGTAGAGTATGAGTATCTCTGGTGTGTCACCTTTTGGTCCATATTGCTATCGTCATTTGAAAATTGTAGATTCTCCTTACCAAGCGCAATGAAGCAGGTTTTTCTCGCTCATTCATTGCCTCTGTTGGGCATAATTCTGACTCTTGTTCTTGTACCTAATCAATTACTGTCTGTTCTACCAATTAGAGGGGTTGTTTAATTGACGTTTCCTTTGTTGAGGTATCTTAGCAGCAGCTTAGTTACTGGACCCTTCATGTTCTCGTCTGGTGTCCTGTTGGTTTGAGTTATCGATGAGGTACGTGCATTCGAGTTCACCCAAAATCCTACCCGCTGCAATCCTGCCCTTTAACATAGTTCGTTAATCGCGGTGCGAGATGTCTCAGTGATTAGAGCGCGAATTTACTGACCGGAAAGTCCGTGGTTCAAACCTGGCCTATGCATCTCGACTTCCCTTCTCTGGGCCTGGGCAGCCTGGCCCAGAGGGCTGGCCATATCCCGGCCCTCAAGCTTCCTCCTGATGGCGTGGCAGTTAGACGCCGAAAAGCTGCTACAGCTGAACGACTGATGAATGACCGTGAATCCTCTGATCACCTGAGGAGTAAGTATGCTGAGAAGAGAGATTTAGGAGCTTTGAGCAGGGTAGAGTAGAATATTTCCAGTTCAACTTCATCTTAGTAATCATTGTAGACCAAAGAGATGGCGCTTCTACTCCAACAAAGCAAGTCGACATAAATGTTTTTTAACGTGTTGGTTTGCTATCAGGCGAAGTGCAGAGAACTCATCCGTAGACGCTCCTGTAGTTAACTGCGGATCTTTTGTCTTGTCAACAGTATATGTCACGACAGGCTGTTCAAAGGGATGCTGGGGTCGAGAACTGCCCTCCTTAAATCCAGACTGGTGAGTTTTCATGCCACAACGCCACATGTCTTTCTGTGTACTGATATTCAGGCCAATGCATATCTGCTAAACTTCGTTTGGGTGAAAAAATGACTGCAGATCGTCATATTAAGCACGGCCGTGTGAAGGCCATCCAACTTGGTAACCCTCTGAAAAATACTTTGGGTGACGGGTTCCGATCAGCGTCCCATCTGAGATGGAGGTTCGTTGTTGTTGAGGAAGAACGGAGTCCATCAGTCACTGATGAGAAGGACTGCTAGATTCCCTTTTAGTAAAGAACTGTCAATTTATCAAACGAAACTGATATATCCATGTGTCTTTCAATCAGATCTGGCTGTACTTGAATCGGTCACTGAATTTCGTTTGCGGTGGACATTGGAGTGTTGAAAATTTTCGGCAGGAATATTGAACGAGAGAAAGTAATCCAGGATGCTTCGGAATCTTTCAAGGTTTACCTACCTATCCATAGATTCCTGCATGCTGCATAGGGCATATATTTCTTATGCCAAGAACGACCAGTTTGTTCAAATGCAGGTGCAAGGGTAATAACCACCTTTCCAGGCCAGGTTTCTTCGCATCCAATCAGTATCGGTAAGCTGCGAGTTGTAAGTTGCTTTCTATTTCTCTGCTACATAACGCTGCAACCTCTTGAAGTACTATTGCCACAGTGCTTGAAGCTTACTAAGTTAACAGGTCACCATGACGTGGTCACGTGATCCATGCGAATGTGAACCATCGGTCAGTATTGCAACATTTTGGGGTGAGATAGACCAAGTGGTTAGAGCGCCAATTTACTGACCGCAAGGTCCGTGGTTCGAACCCGATCTCTGCCTCTCGACTTCCCTTGTCTAGGCTTGGGCGACCTGGCAGTATCCCAGCCCTCTTGCAACTTTCGGGTGACATGGCAATTAGGCACCGAATGCGTGCTACAGCTGAACGGTCGCGACATTTTGAACCTTCTAACGAAGGGTTCCCCGCCGCTGGTCAGGAATCTCACGGAAGTGCATGCTTTTACCCGTCTAGCGCAGTGCTGGTCCGTCTTGTTGGTGGGGGAGGGCGGCGGCTAGAACACGTATAGTGGCCTCCTTTTTTAGGGTCTTGTTCAGTAGTATACTGAATTTTTGTTAGCCGATGCCACTCGGTGACCTTGCCGTTTGTGGCCTACATTGTTACTGCTCAAATGGGTAACAACACCCAAACAAACCGTCCATCCACATTGCCTAACTGAGCTGAATCGTCATAGAAAGGGGTGTACGGGGTTCAGAGACTATAAGAAAGGTCCTGGGGACAAGGCTGTCGAGAACCGTGTTTAGTAGAGCTAGTGAAAATGCAAATTGCTTTTGGAATACCACCAGTCCAGTAATATGCACTAGTGGGTCAAACTGAGCTGTTTTAGATCACTTAAATAGCCCAGTGGGATTAGTGGGTGAAAAGTGAAGGTCTGATTGAAACTTTAGGGACATTGATTTTGCAGAAGAGAAGGGAACAGGACAGGTGTTCAAGTCTTCCGTGCTCCCGAAAAAATACGTGTAAACGTCAGACCATCGGAGAGATGAAGACTAAACCTGCTGATAAATTTTGACGTTCACTCGTCGTCCGCGTGAATTGCTGAAAACATTCGTTCGTGAACTTTCCAATGAATCTTACCTGCCATTAGCGATCTGCCTGCATTGATGAATTCAGATGAGATATCAACAGAAAACATCTGACTATAGTGAACTTCACCCAGAGATGTATCAACGAGTCGTACAAAAACCATGGTAAATTGTCCAATTCTACCATTTCGTTTCTTCGAAGTGAAAATGATTGCTAAATTTTTTCGGTCAGGAATGTTTCCCTTCAGTTTGAACGTCCAACAGTTTCACTCTCCCATTCATCCGGGACCCTGAATGGCGAACTTGTTGAGCCTCAAGCGCTGTCTGCACTATTTAAAGATGCTTGCCTTGGTTGCCTCCGTTTTAGAGAAGACTGTCCCAGACAGTTGCAGCGAACAGATAACAGTGCTTTTTTTTTTTAAAAAAGGCTAATAATTCCCATTCATCCGGGACCCTGAATGGCGAACTTGTTGAGCCTCAAGCGCTGTCTGCACTATTTAAAGATGCTTGCCTTGGTTGCCTCCGTTTTAGAGAAGACTGTCCCAGACAGTTGCGGCGAACAGATAACAGTGCTTTTTTTAAAAAAAGGCTAATAATGAATGTGGCTATCGCAGGAGGATCAGTCTATCTCCTGTATTAAAGCAACGCCTTGTTCCACTTATCGTGGCCTTGTAATGGTCCATTGAATAATGACCGTAATAGTAGCTGATAGTAGCAAGATGGACTGCGGTCTGGTGGAGTTTTTGTTGGCCACGTTTTTGTATCTCATCGAGTGCTGGGACAACGGCTTACGCACGTCATGGATTGATTTGACTTGGCGGACAGATTCCTCAGTAAGGAATTCCCCGGAAGTTCGTGAATACAATAAACCCTTTGTATTTCCGAACTTATGGCCTTGTGAGAATGCTCGAGGAGTTCTCTGAAAGCCTTCCTACAAAAAAAACTGTTCGACAAGGACGCCCACACTTCCATTTCTGTTCAGGTGGAAATTTTCAGAATCTCGGCGTTCGAATGGGCGTTGACGTATAACTGGAACATGCGGACGACATCGTTCTCGTCTCCGAAGTGGAGGGGATTTGCAATTTAATAAAATCATATTGTCCTTTGGGAACTATAGTTTTGCAGCATAAGTGTGCAACAGTGGTGTTCTGTCGATGATTTAGTCCATGGTAATCAACGTCGCGTTGTCCAGAAACATCTACAAAAGAGGCATGACTGATAGTGAGATTAACAGACCTGTGTACGAGAGGCAGTGTGTCAACGCGATTGCACAAGCTGTACAGATATCCCAGTGTGACTAATTGGATCCAGCTCAATTTCTTAGTTTCCTGCTACCCTACGTCGTGATCAGTGAACACTCATCAAATTTACTTCAAGTTTAAACTATCGGTTTCGGTGTCGGCGGCACGTCAGTGCGTTTGAGAAAGTCATTTCAGGTCTGATGTTTGAGAGCTGCACATTTCGCAAATGAATCCAGCTTGAGAATGCGTTTTACCGTAGGAGTACATCACAACGCAAATCATTAATGGAACCACATCACTCTACACGTTGTCCTACTTTTCCATGTAACCGTTAGTAAATAATATGGTGCTGGACTATTTGGACCATTGCTCGTGTTTCTAAATATGTGCATGCATTGAGCACTTCAAAATGCACGCATATCGCGTTCCTGACAACGCTTCATTTTATCTAGTTTAACCTGCGCATTTACATCCGTAGTTCACTGTATTCAAGTGTGTTCTTCCTAGCAACCAAAGTGGCACAAGTTAGGCAGTTTTGTGTTGATGAAATTCCGTTATAACTGTACTTGTTCTAAATGGAGTCTTTTTCAGTCTTAGCACATGACAATGTGACTCCACAGGAAGACGATAAAATGTGATGTGAAACTGCAGAGTATAAACAAACTGCAGCTGTTTCAGATAGTCATCGGTTTATCAAGAGCACATAGGACTTCGTTTCCGGTTTCGATATTGCACGATCACCGTTGTGCAACAGCCCGAAAAATGCTCATCACTTTACTTATCGAACCTATATTGTGGTACACGTAGACCTAATCATGCTCCATCTTGGTAACATCACATTCAAACACAACTAACCCACTGAGTTTGAACCGAAACGCGTCCTTTTACGCATTGTGATATGGTGGCAGCAACACGGTAGTCTGGTTCGGCTGTCGCCACCTGATTGGGAAATGAAGTGATGGGGCACAGCAATCAGTCTCATGAGACCGCTTCTCAGAAGAGCACTTTCGTTGTGAAATTAGAATTTCATTCAACTGTTGAATCTCTTAAACAAGAGGCCATTTCCGGTGAAGCTTTTCACGCTGTACTGAGGTATGAGGCTTTGTAGGGAACTTCTGGTAAAATCAACGCACCTATAGAAGGCGCGTTGCTGTACAAGATTTACCGGTAATTCTCCTTGTCAGTGCGACTGCAAGGTCATCTGAAAGACATACACACAATACAATTGGTGTCGGACAGTCCGGACTTTTAATGATGCGACACCCTGACCGATTAAACCTGGATTCAAGGGTTAAACCAGCTGCCTGACCAGTTCCGAACTTCCTATCTTGTGAACTCTTCGCTTTTTCGGCCAACGTTCGTTTGTTTACCGAAATGCCTTCAACTATGAAGAGCCCCCATCTAACACATTGATAGTCATTCTTTAATATGGTATTCCACCTTGTCTGCTGCATCATCACGACGTATTTGAGTTTCTTTGACAAGGGGTGCTCGTCCCCTCCAGTTTATTAACGTAAGTTAACAAATTAAGTTAAGGTGCTTGAACTTGTCTGTGGTTCCTTCAGACGGCTTCTCGACGCTTGGGTTAGAGTAATATTGAGGTTTTTTTGCATCAGTGACTTGCGCTTTAAATACTGTTTAACCTTTATGCACGTCTTAAGGGAATAACATACTGAAACAGTATTCCATTATCAACCTCAATCTACGCTCGCATTTGGAATCGAATGGAAGTGAAATGGAGTAACTTTAACAAGAAATCTCGTTGCATTGAATAACGAGTGCCATCGTAGTTGCCAAGACCTCTACAAATAGCGGTTAACTCTTACACACTTGATTCTACTTCTCAGTTCCGTACTGCATAAATGTAAATATCAATAAATATGGTGGTAACAACAATGTGTTGGCGAGCATGTCTTGGCGAAGTCTTTTGAAGTCATGCTGTTGAAAGGCTAAGACAGCAATATTTAACACGATTTTTCTAACATGAGCACAGTGTACATCAAACAGGGAGCCGAGTGAGAGACGGCATTGGCTAGCTATCAGGACACAATTCGTTGAAGTCATCAACCGGATGACCTCAGTTAGCCAGTGCTGTTGTGTCCAGCAAAGGATCTATGTGTGTGGGAAGTCAGCTGGATAATGGCGAACAAGGTGTTTTGCTGGCAAAGGATCTGGTCGGAATATCATATGTTGTATCGATCTAGGTTGATTAGCAGACGCTTGGCAACACGCTGTGCGCCCTGTCTGCTAGATGTACGACTAAACTGGTTATCGTCCTCCTAGTTCCAGAAGCTAGCCACGATGTGTTGTGTTCCCTCAAACCTCGGCCGAGTTGCTTCACTTTGCATCCAGTGTATTCCGCTGCACAGCAACAGGAAAATGACTATGCTGACATATTTTGAGCGTGGAGGGGCACTCTATCTTTGATGCCAAAGGAACACAAACGATTACTTGTGGACCATGTTCGGAAGAAAGCTTCGTTCAAACTAGTACAAAGCCTCCTGTTCGGTAGGTCGGCCGGTATATCATCCTTAAGTGGAAGGCCAGCATAAACGGGTCTTCTTTCAACTGTGGTCGTAATAGCATCGGTTTCCTTGTTCAAATGATTCACGATAAAATTGTCCAGGAACTCGTCTCTCAAAACGCTGCTGAGGGTTAGGATAGCATATTTTTCTCACTGTTATTAAGCCTGTGGACCAGATTGCGTTTGTCTTAGTGGAACGAAGCTGTTAAAGTTTGTTCATTGCCCGGACCCAGTTAGCTACAGATAGTTTCAGTGTACCATCGTGATGTCACTCAAGGCCAACATCTAGCGAGTGAAAGTTGTCGGTTTCTCTTTCAAGATAACTGTGAAGCTTAGAAAACAGACTAACGGTCACCTGAGCAACAAACCAACATTGAGTTCACGCTTCACCTCACATCTTACGATATCCCGTAATATACATCAGCCACGGGTGCATTCCTGGATACGGAAAGTTCATAGACTCAGGAATGCGTATCGGAGGTGCCATCAGAGCCAAAGTTGGCTTTAGAGATATCGGGACTCCATTACTAAGCCCATCACAACTCTTCATAGACAGAAATTCATCTGTCGTGATTACTTGTGTTCAACTACTGCAAGCGTACGGTCGAAAATGGCGCATTTTTCAGGTCCAAATCTTGGGATGGCGTTTTGCCCATCAATCCGATAGCATTTAGATGTACGAAACACAACCGGCTCCTTAGAGTGTGTCCTTATTCGGGGTCAATATCAATGTGCCATTGGATAGTGTTTCCTTAGCATCAAACGAGGTTCGAGTTTGCCGTGAATATATCCATCTGGATGAACAGAGATCTTTTATCAAAATCTGAATATCACTGCACTAGTTCTTCATCATGAGGCCGAATAGCAGGCGAGAGAATTGTTAGCAGTGAATGTCTTCAACTGTGGCGAACCGGCGATCAAAAGGGTACGTGCTTGGTTGTTCCTCAGCTTTTCTTTTGTTCAACGCTAGAATCTCGTTGACAATAAATGTTTGCGCAAATAAACTGCGCCAGATATATACTTGGACCAAAGTAATTTCATCTCCATTTAGTTTTAAGCGCAGTTTCGTTTTAAAGTTTGTCGGTGTAGTGGAATGTTCGGAATACTAAGAAATAAACACTCTGTTAGACACATCACAGCGAATTTTGCGAGTCTGTGGCCTTGCAGTAGTTATCGTCCCAGGAACTACAGGCCACCTTTTGTACAGGGAGTGCACATCGCGACCAACTGAATGACTAAGTTATCGGCGCAAAACAAGGTTATGTAGATGCTTATTCCGTAAGGGACCTAGCGCCCTTCCTCAAAGAGTACAGTCCAGAGAGATGCAACTTCCCGCGCTCCAAGAAGGCATTTGAGTTACACTCATTTATGGTACCCATGGTGCTCCACGGTCGCTTTCCAATCAATCTACCTAGTTCCAGTGAACTAAAAATTGTGCGGCAAAGTCTTCGGTGATACTTGTCTATATGCACTTATACCTATGACAGTTGATCATCTTATTTAGTGCCAGTATATTGTCATTCATTATGGTGATGGCGAACTATTGGGAGGTAATTAAGAAGTTCGTCCAGCGCACAGAAAGTCCTTAAGTAACACGCCATCTTCAAACAAACCCATGTCATGTCCGCACACAGCAAACAGTTGAAAACAGATAAGGTATAAAATCACAACTTGGCCGTTAGATCCACTTAATCAGACAGGCCACGTTCATCCAGTTCTACAAGTCCTGACCCACCCCTGATTTACAGGGTCTGGGACACAACATCATTACAGATAATTGATATTGTCGGTTTCCTTAAAGTCGTCTGGTGCGTCGTGTTAAAGAAGCCACGGAGCAATACGTGTGTGCTGTCAGTTCACATTGATGAGCATAAAATCAGTGTTTTCTGTAGAACCTTATTGTATCCGCGGCGTTCACCCGTAGTGCAGATTCCGATGGAGATGGGAAGGGTCACTTGCACTAAGATTCATTTCTACAGTGACTACTTTATCGGTTTCATGACTTGGGGGTCTTTCTCCTACACGTGGCCTCACTGACTATTTAACAACGCCATAAATAGGAGTAAACAGTTTTGTACAACAGCACACTTTTCAAATTTTTACAAGTGTGCTCAACCTTCCTGTTAATCAACTGCCCACTTGTTTTGTGTTAACCATTCTGCCATTATACAGAGTGATTAGGATCACGGACGATTCATGTCAAGCAACAGTCGGATAGCCATGTTGAGCTACAGCTGCATCACATGGAGAAAGGTAAACAAGTCAGCAGGCTGCCGAAGTCGTACTCACTAGAATCTCGTGGAACGAAGAAGAAATTGAGTACCAAATTAACTAGTTGAAAGAATCAGAGTGTATTACTGTACACGGTAAAATAATGTGCTCAAAATGGTCTCGAAATGCGAATCTCTTTCAAAAGACTTTCGGGTGTCAGCGGTTTTAAGAACACACTGGATCGGGTACATTTGTCCAGTTGTCCCAATGCCGCTTCAAGTTGTTCGAGGACACAGGGATCCCTTTCGATTTTACTTCTGTTAGATAACAGTCGATTGAGATCCCGAATCACATCCGGTGCTAACCAATCGGGGAGTTGTTCTTCAAGGAAAAAAGCACGAGCAAGGTTGGCAGCTGCCTGTCTGACGGATGGTGAATGATCCTGAGTAAGGTGTAGTTCGATCAGGTAGAAAATCTATAAAGAACAGGAAAAAAAACGCAAGCTTTGAATTCTCATAGGGTTGGTTTACGATGACCCGAAAATTTTTTTCAGCGAAGTAAGTGTGACTACATCAAAAAAAAATACGGCCCAATCATGAAGTCGGTACGTTTCTATTGAGATTAGGCATACAAATAATCAACAGCACATCTCAGTAATCTTAGTTCACTGTGACAATAGTTGCTTTATACGCATCAGAAATTTTCCTTGTGTCCTAAACTTAGAGGCACTTAGATACAATCTTCATACGACTGCTGTTCTTGCCGCGCAAAACAACTAGTTGTCGGCTACCCGTCACAAGAGTATGCTCAAATGAGAAGATCAAATATGTTGCAATTTTTACGGATGGCTGGCGCCGGCTTACCTGGAGCACACTATCTTGTTGACATCAGCTACGACATCTAGACGGTTCACATTCCCATGTATGACATGAATGTACATCCAAACACCTAGCTGCGACATCGTTTTCACGCAGTTCTTGTAAGAAAGAAATCACGTGTTATACCGTATTGCGAGGAAAACAGTAGGGGGATGGAGAATTCTACAGTCTGATGAGAAATGACAGGGCAGTGAAGCTAGGTGGGGTCGGCTGCCGATCTAAGTTGTACATTTACCAACTAAGAAGGAACATTGCATAGCGATTTCGAGAAAAGAGACCTCTGCTGACAATTGACACAGCTGAAATCCATGGACTACACACTCGCACTGTGAGCCCCCTGAACGATGTGAGAAAAAGTTGGGCATACCATGATCATCCACAAGCACAACTTTCAAGGGCAGTCAGCTGTCTTTACCATTGGTTGTCACCATCTATTTTGCTAAAAAAACGAGACCAGTTGCCGCTCGAAACCCGATGACTTAGTGACCATAGTTAGTGTTAGTTGAAGATAGGATTTCTCGAGTGTACCTTAGGGGTAAGTTGTAGGGCCCTGCGCATATTTTTACCCTACTGACGTAACACCTATCCATACAGGCTTGTCGAAGTGATTGGTTTGCAATACAGTGCATACGGTGCTTGTGGCTGAGAAAAATCAATTATGACAACTTGTAAAAACAAAAAAAGAATCATTGAGGTGATACAAAAAACATAATCCAGTTCGGGTTATCTTAATTTAGTTCAAAATGCGGGAATATAACGACGAAAGAGCTCGCCGGAATATATAGCTTCTGTGGGAATATGCTCCCCTCATTTAATGATGGTACCCGTAATAATACCATTATTTTGCGTTCCTAAAGGGTGGTATGTGTATGAGGATGATTGTAATCGACTTTAAATCATCTTCCTCTGGAAGGAACGACCGCATTTCACGTTGAACGAATGAACGCGAAAAACTCACCAGCCATCAGAGTCATGTGATATTACAAGTGCATAAGGATTAGCTTGTGCCAAAAAGAGTAAGCGGATTGGCTGAAGGCAGAGTTCGGACAAGTAAGCGTTCAACGATTCAAACATGAAATTGTTAAATTATCAGGCGAACAGGGCTGAAATGAAACACGATTTGAAACTCACAATGAGTGTGATGGAGCTGACAACATGGCATTACCAGAAGGGAAATAAACCAGTTTCACTTACCTCATAGACTATCGGTCCCATTGCATGTCTTAAGAGACGACAGAGTTCTGTCACATTGGACAGACTTGCCGCACGCACAAGCGGCTCCGTGTCTCTGCTGCCCACGGTCATACAGTGCAAGACTTGCGTGCGATACTTTGGGGCCATATAACCTGAAGAAAATGTATTCAGTGTGGCGTGTTTACCAATGGACAACGAACCAGAGTATGTCTGCAACCATATGTCGTATTGACAATTAAATTATAAGTGCGAAATAACACGGACAATAACCCCGCTTATGGATGAATTTATTTAGGGAAGGGAAATTTTGGTACTCTTTTTTCTAATGCAGCGAGTATACTGAACTTGAAAGCATGTTTCGCTTGATACGAAACTATCATTACTACAGTCCGGAGCTACATAATTGTAATCGACCGGTGAATCAACTTGGTTCGCAGAAAATAGCTCAAGCGATCTGAAACGGGATTATACGGGTAACTCTGATTATGGCGGTAGGGAAAACGAAGTTTCCAAGTGAAGGAGTCTGAGAAGTGAATTTGAAACGCCATGATACCACGGAAAGGCGGATATCAATGCGGAAACACTATCAGCAGTAATGACAAAAACTGAAGTGGAGAATCTAAAACTGCGGCCGTTCGGTTAAGTGATGTTCTTCACGGTGCAAAATTGCCGCTCAATTTTGAGACAAATTACGAAGGGGAATGCAAAATAAAATCAAGTACTTGATGATATGGGAAGCACTTTCACCAACGAACGTCTACAGACCTGGCAACTATGAACTGAGTGCGTAACAAACTAACTGTTCACTGACTGGATAAATGGCAACTTCCGCGCTACGACAGGTCTGTTTCAACGGTAGCCTACAAACCCATAGATTTACCGGATCTTTCTAATCAATTACTACCACAATGAGCTGCACTCAGTGCTGTCGGCACTACGCTCTGTTTTATGGCCGCGGGCTTGAACACTCCCATGTGATGTCATGTCACTCGGATTTCGGAAGCACACAAAAAATTTTTGGAAATTAGTCCTATTGTAGGGATATCTGTTCACCCACACAAGCTGCAGCCGAACACTGGCGAGCTAATAAATGGCGTAATATTAGGCTTCATCCAGAGTAGACCAGGTGTGCCATCATAAAAACAGTAGCAATGACACATCTGTAGTGGTACTATATTCGAGTGATGAGATGTTGGGTTACCATTCTAAAATAAGAGTACAAATCCACCAGTTTCCGACTGACAATTACCGGTATGGCGGAAGCAACAAGTAATCCAGAGGTTATACTAGTAAAGATGAATAGAACTGTTCAAACGAGGCTGCAACACTGCAATTGTATCTGACACAATTCAGTTTGAACGCTCTCTCTCGGTTAATTTTCGAGAATCTCGCAAGACAGTGGAACAATTCAAACATGTTCAACAACTTTCCCATTTCTGGCTGACCCTGTGATGACAGTGTATTAAAGCTCTCGGTGACCGATTATATCGATTCCCATTGGGAAAGAGCCTCCTGAGAGATATAACGACTGCTACTGGTCCATCGGGTATGTTCTCTCAAGTGAAATGACCGCACTTCAACAAGTGGACAGAAAAAAATTATTAAGATACATTTCGGGGTCGTATAAAAAGCAACTGCGTCTGACAGTAGTATCTCAAGGTTGAACAGTTTAGTATATACAGCCCAAGTGCTGTATACAATCTAGAAGTGGTATGTTATTGTAGTCATGATCTTTGGGATACCAGGATGTAATAATATGAACAGCTTTCAGTAGCACAGCAAACGGATAAAAAGCTAGCAGATATCGGAGGGGGTAAATGAGAAAAAAACATCCCGTTGGCCGATAGACCGAAACCATTCACTCGACCATATCAGCACACGGCCGGATATTTTGAANGCACATGCTCAAAGTGTACAAATCAAAACCACAATTTCGACCAGACGGAGACTGGATTCGAAGGAGGAACCAGCCGAAGAATTCCAGCTGGTTTTACCCACTGACTTAAAACCCTAACCTACTAATGCTACGGGAGCTGTCAGTTAGGTTCTCTCCTATTGTTTTCATTGTGTATTTCTAATGAAACCAGTCTTGGAAGAGTTCAGCCGTGGTGGCCAGAACGCCGGTCAATAAACCTCCGTTTATCAATAGTATGCTATTCCCTTATAATCTAACCAAAATACTGACGCTATCTTTTCAGTCCTTCCCCTCAGTCCACAACATGTCCAGATACAAAACAGATCAACGCTTCTGGGATCACACCTCGATGCAGCAAAAAATTTACTAGGGTATCAGAGATTTCAACACCATGATAGGATACGCTTTACCACTGAGACTTTGAGGCTAACAGTTCATGGATGACAAAACAACGAAGTTGTTCCATGCATGCAGAAAGTTTGCGTCCCAAGACGGAATATCCGGTAATTAGTTTGTACCGAACTACTTGGCAGGCTTGATGCGGATGTGATGAACATCCCACTTAAAATACCGTGAAGTTATGCGGCGATGACTAGTTCGACTCAGTGGATTGTATTGAGTAGCAATGTACAAAACACAGTTTATAGCGCAGCAGATTGCACCGATAATACACAAATTGACAGTTCCATTAGATATACTGTATTCATATTTAATTTAGTACCAAGGATAAGTGAATAAGGCACTTAAAGTGAATAAAGTAGTTAATCATGGTAAGAAGTATGGATATTTTGCAAGATGTTTAAAATAGAGATAATAATTACTTATAAGCTTTGATACCTACGTGGATCTGCTTGCACATGAATAACAACTGGACCAGAAAAGGGAGCAGCTTGTTCGAAGGATCCCAAAGATCTGAGGTTAGCACGTTAGGAGCTACATTATTACCGACAGCATTCTAACGAAACTTGAACCTCGGTACTTTTTACTTCAGATTATGAAAACGTGGACTGTAATTCACTCCGAGATTACACAACAGACCATATTCAGTAGAAATAGGGCCAGAATGTACGCCGTTTGGAAGTAATATTAGTCCTATCTAGGTTGGAGAGCACTTGAATCCCAAAGAATTGCAGAACTACACTGAAACTCCCTGCTACTGGACTTCCGTCCGTTTGCATAAACCTTGAAAAAACCTTTAAAATGATTTTTTTTCAGTAAGATAATCCCACTGAAAAGCAGTGGGTTGAAGAAATTCGGTTTTAATCATAAGGTAGTTATTAAGTAAACTGAGAGTTGGTAAGGGTCAAGTAGGATGAACAGATCGGATCTGATTACTATCCTACGATGTTTACTTCCATGAGACGAAAGCGGTCAAACATCACGTGATGAACACGCACGCGGTCGTTTTCTGGAGATTGTGCAACCAAAATATCTGTTTGACATGCATGCATCGCTTTTTTGCATCAGACTGAAGAGACTAAAAGGAGAACCTGCAGAGCAGACGAGTGAATCAGTGGCTAGGCAAGGCTCACATCTCTCAAATAGAACTTGACAGCAGACGAGGTGATGTGATCTCCATGTCATCGTCCATTCGTGTTGCATGAAATGAGCAAGCAACAATTGCAAAAAATATAACTCGAATATCCAGAGTACACCACCGTAGGTGACTATACATTATTTCAGAGTCGACCTGGTCAGATCTGATTGAGAATTAGTTCCAGCCAAAATTCGATTTGGGTGTGAGTGCCGCCTAGGTAAGAAACCGGAAAAACATAATAGAGATGTATTGTTGGTTAGTTTAGGACGTCCAGTGTCAGAATAACTGCGCTGACGAAAAAGAGAACCACAGGGGATTTCTTACCGAGGTCTCGTAAAATTCGCATTATAGCCTCGCCTAGTTTCAATATAAATTCCACACGACTGTTATGGGAAGTCTGTTGAGAAGGCTCCTTTCCTGAAACGGGTATGCATAACTGACGGAATCGGTCGAGCAGTGCAGTGAGAGTTCGATCAGTTAAACTGTGACCCAACGCGGCCAGACCACGAATAGCATTCAAATAAACGTAGCTGTCCTCATCTGATAGGTGATGAAATAATACCTACAAGCAAGCAAAAATGAGAGGATAGATGAGAAGTGTTGATCGTGCGGACGTACGAATACGAGACAGGATACTAGGTTTTCAGGATGCTAGACGTTACATTGCATTGCCAATGTCGCCTTTTTATAGGTCACGTTAAGTTACACAATACTAGAGAGCTGACCTGTTCCATCTTTACTAGAAATCGGTGCTCAAATTACGAATCCAGAATGTGCCTCCAACTCACAGCCTGCGATAGGGGTGGTGCTAAAGACAGATATGGACAGATGTAAATTAGTCAGGACTCTAACTCTGTTCCAATCCACGGAAAGATATCTTCCGAAAGTTTCCAAATGGAAGAGTCCCTAGAAAGGGACGACGGACATTAGCATTCTTCATCGCTTTCAGCACTTGAATGACGTTGGGTCTGTTGCCCGCGGATGTTTTAAACGGCAAACATCAGAAAGCGGTGACAATAGCCAGTTCAATGCGATGTATTTTCGCAATATCCCATACTGCTGCATATGTGTAATCCATCCATATAATTCTATCATGAACCGGGAGACAAGAATATATAATACGGAGAAGATGAATCAACAGGTATTCTGATCCAACCCTATCATAATCTCCGTCACTTCTACATTAGTTCTAGTCAATGTGCTTTTGGATCCCAAGCGAATATCGCCATCTAGTCTATTTTCGAGTTCGTCAGAGTTCATTAACTAGTGTTGAAATACATCGACCGACATTCCAATGTGGAATCCAAGCCCGTTTGTGTAACTTGACCAAGTGTTCGCGGTAGCTCAGTCAATCGTCTGTCATCCAGCAGGCAAGAAGTTATGAGTTCCACCCGAGTCCTCTTATTTTAATCATGTATACCTGGATTCATATGCAAAACTATCCGACCCAAGTATATTCTTCCTCACTTCATTGGTGAGTCCGAAAGAGCTTGTATCATGGTTACCAAAGCACATGAATGTGGGTTTTCTATGCACCTAGCCGGGCTCGAATATAAACCGTAGAAGGAAAAACATATGAGGGAAATATATCCTTATATAGACGTTTGGCACGGTAGGGTAACAATCGTGTTAAGAGTAGAGGGTACATACAACTCAGTATCTGTCGAGTTTTCAATACTAACATCTATCTTGCTATTATATAAGTCACGCCAAGTGAAGTCGAGAAAGGTCTGCTGACGTTAACAAATTTAGGCAGCATTACTAGTGATATCAAGAGTTTTTGTGTGATCATTGATAGACAAATGCAAGAAAGTAACATCAGTCAACGTGTTTTTTCTTGAGGGCCAAGTTGGCCATTTTTGCAACCAGAAAGTGTGCCATCCACAGTTATGGGACGTCTTCTCGTTTGGAAAGTACGATGTATATTCCTAATAGACGGTGGCCCATGGAGTGGCAACTTGTCACCCTTTACAGGAGCTGGGCAGCTGCCCGTGAGTATCTACACACATGATACTCAATGCCAATCGGTGACACTGACCAGGATTCATGAACTATGCACCAGACTTGATGCTAACCGGGGATGGGTTCGCACCAACTAGCAAGTGAAAAACAAGCATCAATCTGCTAATCGCATTGAGTGGTGTCAGAGTTGTGCCTGGCGAAGCCTTTACCAAGAAAGGCCCACCCCAAGATGGACTATATCACTGAATGCCCAACAAGACCACTTTACAGCACCAAAAAGTCCAACATCTGGGAAAGTCGAACACTCCAACCGACTATAGATGTAGGGCACCATAAACGCCTCAACAAGAAATAGGTCCCTGTATCAAGAATTCAGTTACCTTGATTTCATTACCTATGCTATTCAGGTGGGTGAGTCACGCACACAGAAGCAGAAGAGGAGTGCATACCTGGAATATTCGTTCCTCTTTGCCAATGGTGCATTTGTGCCGAGATTCCAGAAGCCGACTTAAAGAAATAAGGGCATGACCACGAACAGGTACAAGTGGGTCTTTCAATTGCTCAAAAGCTTCTTCAAGCTCAGGATCTAAGGGTTCTTCACCATTCACCGCTGACGATGTTTGGGAGTCCGATGGCAGAATCTCTTCAATCACGTTGTGGTTAGCTTCGGATATAATCCTGTCTGGACTTGGAGATTTTCTGAAATATGCACATGAAACAATGACTAACAAATACGACTAATAGCCCGCAATAGGCACTAAAAATGGCTTGTATTTGAACCTTCTCTCCTACAGAGACTTGATGAAAGTGGAGAGAATGTGTAAGAAGGGTTACAATAGACGTCATCTATCCAAAACATGCCAAAAACAGCGGATACTTCGGTCTGTGATATCCAAAGACAGGCGCATTTGTACATCTCAAACAAAACTTTACATCACCAGCAGTCAGGTTTTCCATCTTGAATTATTCACTCTGGGTGAATTTGACCGCCGATACACTTAGTTTACTGCGGAACAGTACCGTGCTCACAAGTAGATGACACAGAAGATTTTGGGTAGCTTGCTGTGCTAGCTACCTTGACGTCTGACAGCTACAGAAAGGAAAATTTTAAACAGCAAAATCAAGCGCACCAAAAGCACTAACAACCCATTTGTGGATAGCACCCACGCAACTCAGTCTTGTGCAAGCAGTGGGTAACTAAAAAATAGCGTCCTGTACACATTGACACTTGATCTCCTACGGACAACTTCAACCTAAATGAGTCCAGCTGCATCAAGCGCAAATAAACTCGGCAGACTTACAAAGCCGTCGGATCAGGTTGGACAGAATCAACCTTGCTGTTTGTCAGATCAACTGCTCCACGTGTGGCCAACATGACACGAAGACAGTGTAACAGTTCCAATTGCGCACGACTGGCAACGACTGAATTGGCACGAATTTCGGTTTCCATGTCAGATAAAATAGGCAGCAATCTTCCAAACTGGTCTGTGATATTTGTTTCACCAGGCTAATGTGGAGAAAGAACGAAGCAATTCAAAACTTCATTTCAGTTAACTGGAACGAAGAACAAAATGGCCCGGACGACTGTAGGCGCATGGTACATCATGCGGTTTCCTGAAGGTGGTCTTTATCCTAAGCAGACAGGGATGTGTTAACGTCTAGAGAGGTGCGAAAACTGACAAAAATCCAAGGATTGACGGATGAACTGATACTTTTAACCACGAAAGTACTTATTTTACCTCGCTTACTGAATTGCAATCAGCTAATAACGAAAGTGCTTCGTTTGTTTGTATCCACAGACACTTTACCAAGCCAAGGTGGCGAGTACAATTCAGAGGGAATCCTCAAAAACTTCCTAACGCATCACTATCCGGTTTACGTACCACAGGGTAAGTAAAATTTAACGAGAAGATGCTAGTGCATCAGCGATGGTCATGCACTCGAAGGGGTCTGCTAAAACCTGCCTGCATCATGCACGACGATACCCAAAGAAAGGAACAAGAAAAAAGTTGGAATCGAGCCGAAAAACAAACACCCCTCGCACCGCAACTAGTGTAACGCTTCGGAGGTAGAAAAACTTATGAGAACTTACAAACATTTATTTTACCCAAGTTCAGCAGAGGATATTGTTGAGCGTATTTCAGTGTCAGGATCGGGAAGGAAATGCTCGCTTGTTGATGATACACCGAGATCGAGACTGCTCAAGTGGTTGGAGCGTGAATTTACTAACTGGAAGGTCCGTGGTTCGAACCCGACCTCTGCCTCTCGACTTCCCTGTCTACTTTTGGGCAACCTGGCAGTATCCCAGCCCTCGTGCCTCCTTCGGGTGGCATGGCAGCTAGGCATCGAAAGGGTGTTACAGCTGTATTATTATTATTATTATTATTAAATGATACACCCTGTTCTTACCTAGTCCATGACCGCCGACGAAAAGAAATCCATCATTTCACCACGACATCTCTCAGCTATGTAAATATAAGCAGGCCACAAAACGGCTTTTCACGATGTCACCACCAGGAATTACAATATGTAAGTCACTGAACTGACAGATATCATATAGTTCAGGATCTCCGATTAGCAACAATGCGTAAATCACTGACCGAAACTCACCTTCAACCGTTGTGTGTAGAAGGCCAAAATCCCTAAAATTTGGCTCAGTGTTTCAAGCAAAAGTTCTTCCATTTCCGCTTCGATGCGTCTGCTCATCAACATATACAGTCGAGAAAGAGTCATCTGGAGTGATTAGAAGCAGAAAAATGTCAGTAGTTATTTTTGAGGTAGATATGATGCAGAGATCAATAGATGGGAAACATACACCTAACATAACTTGACTGGTAGGTTGAAGGATTACTCAGAATTCAAAGGCACAAAAAATGGATGTGTCCGAAACCCATTAGGTTCAGCAAACGCGTAGTCACGTTACCCTCAGCCGTTTCACCACAGGTTGCAAGAACTAAACTAAAACATACATATCCGGAACCTCAACAACCTTACAATACCTTGAGAAACAACCTCAAAAATCATAACACCTAGCCCGTACAAAGTCACAAGCTACTGGAAAAACGCAAGTATCCTTTACAAGAGCCTTCATCAGCTATGGAGATCTAGGGCATCCAAGTGGCTTGATATGTGGGTGAGAAACGAAACAGTGGTTCATACGTTAGAGGATATCGTGAATGAGACATCTCCATGGTTGAGTGTACTCAGTAATATAAGCTGCAGTGACTAGGTTATATGCCATGTATGTTGAACCCTTGTCTACTGGAAACAACCGTTCACCGCATGAAGTTTATGATGCTACAAACAAACGTAAATAGGCGAGGTTTGACAAAAACGACGACAAAGGATCTGAGTGCCATTAGCACGGTTCTTATCGGCACATCACAAGATATGAGTGGTACCGGATTGTGCGAACATTCGTCCTATCGAATTATATCCATACTATCTAAATGGCAAGAGTATAGTTACTTTAGGATTGTCGTGGAGTCTAGCACTGACCGTCGTCCCTTTTACTTTTGGCATTTTCACAACATACGTGATGTGAACGGCTACGGCTGTACGACAAAAGGTGTGGGTGCTTAATTTTCCTCTTCCTGTCCATTATGACGGTTCACATAAGGTAAAATTTATTCTTAAAAACAAATCACCAACCGGAAACAATCTACTCACTAAAATACGTTTACATATCTAACCTCTTTGATCTGTGTGGCATGTAAAGATCGAACTCCCTCGGGAGAACCAAATCCCATAACATGAATGCCTGAGGAGGTCGTCGTGAGTGGTGTCATACACATTCTTGAGTGTACGGTGTGTATACTACGAAACTTCTAGTAAACCCATGTACGTTCATTAATTAACGTATATATGAGAGGATTCTCCCGAAATGGGGACATCCAACTGAGGTTACAGAAACGTACTATTTTTTGGGGCTAACGTACATGTTCAGTTCACTCCAAAGAACCCGATCCAAACAAACAATTGTTGTGTTCGTCGGCGAACTGGTAGATGTGAACAGATAACAGTTTGCTCCGTAAGTGTCCACTATTTATGAAGTCCTTTGCCATGTTCTTATTCGTCTGAAACGGGTTAAACCCAAAGACCATTTAGCTTACGTTCGACGCTATCAGAGGAATACAACGAAGGTTGTCAAACCAGAGAATGTCACTGAAAAGATGTATCACCCATTATCGATAAAACCACGAAAACAATTTCAGGAGTTTACGCTGGTAGGGATATCTACTGAACGTCAAACTCTTCTGACTCGGAACATGACTGCAACTTAAGTGTTGAAACTAGCACTACGCAAATGGTTCCAGTCGGACCACCATCTGTAAGAAAGTAGCCCGAATCCTGTATAGGTGGTTATGCTCTCCAGAATCAGATGGTAGTTGACTACTTGTGTTGGTTTGAGAGCATTGGCAGTCTCCTATCAACTAGACAGCTAGACTTCCAGCAGCCACTGGAAAAAGTCCATATCAACAGTCGATTGGGAGTCCTCAAACTACCAGAGTAAGCTGTGGACTAACGAGAATGGTTTTGGGGATCAGATGGGAGGACGGGATGACAGACAAGCCCAAAAGTCGCAACCTATTTAGCATACGGTCTATAATGCAACCAACCTCGAGTAGATTTACAACTTGCTCCGGCTCGTCGGGCCATATTTGATCCCCAAGACAATCCAGCATTGCAGCAGCCAGAAGCGAAGAAAGGATGCCTGTTTTTGCGCTCTTCTCGACCGATATATCTCCGACTTCATTAAATGGTAGAATACCTACCTCTGGTGAAGGTCGTTGGATAAGAGGCCTCAAGTTATCATTCAGATCCTGCGAAAAAAAAGATATTAGAAAGGGGGATATTACAACAACTCGATTCTCTGAGTTACATTTAGCGACCATCCCAACTGTGCACATCACTGGAGGAAACGCAAGTTAGAAATAGACGGGGCAATAATGAAACGGAATGATTTTTCTACTGAAATATATAAATCAACACCACGGAGACAAATAAACAATATGTGACAAATTTGGGATGTGTTCACCGAAATGCACAACATTACACTGATTTACATCGTATAAACGCTAACTGGTGGAAAATACAACCAATATTACAGTCTCATAGGTTTCGGATAGGTCTCACTGTGTTCTAGTACTAAAAGAAAATTGACCGTAGACCCTTATCAAATGCTGATTTGATTAAGTCCAGACTTCACGGGAACTAAGGAAAACTGGAGAATATTTTCTTAACGCGAGTATTATTTTACTTGGTACTTGGATTACTGTGACTGACTCTTAGGAGAGTGCGGGGCGGGTTCATGGGTATTCCAGACTGCAGCTACCCGTGTTTGACGACCGGGGCTTAGATAGTTAAAGATGGAGATTTCTGTGGCATGTTTATCTGCCACATCAGTTAACATAAACAAACTGTGTAGCAATAGTGCCTGGTAGTGGGATTCAAGCTGCATGAACCCAAACTAACACCCCCGCAGTTTCGTCTCATTTCTGATACTTTTTTTATAGAAAGAAGCTTCGCTACAGGTCCTTCACAAAAAACAGACTATTTATTTGAATTACCTCATTTCTAACAATCATGCAAAGAAAGAATGTTTATGGCCAGACGGAGAGGGAGCAGGAGAAAAAACGCATATACATATACCCTCTTCCGAACCGTCCAGATCAAGATTTTTCTCTTCACTGAATCCAACTTTTCTCACCAGCGCATACAAGTAGTATGGTCCTTGATCTTGCAAAAGGGTTTTTTTTCAGTGACGGCACTTTATTTACGTGTAATCAAGATACAGAAAAGTCTGTACCTTCTCTCGTGCCACCTGACTACGAGTGCGGGAGCGTTTTAACCCAAATCACTATTTGATTAGCTGTGGCTCCCATAAGCCGCCTCTATGACACCCGAATTCCTCCCGTTCCTGCTAAGGACACCCCAACAGACCATAAAAAACTTATGGGCTGTACTCTCTCTCTCTCTCGCTCTCAAGTCTTTGTAGACAACAGAAGATGCGAAACGCTGCTGAAACCATCCACCTTCCCCACTGAATTTTCGACTTGAATTGATATGTACGCGCACCTAGTGAGAAAAAAGACTTAATATGCTGAGGTTTTCAAAATGCGACCGCACTCTTATTCGATACTCACTTTCTGAACAAATTAGATTGTGTGTAAGAAAAAGTTTTCGCCCTGAGACACCAGAATTTACAAAAGCGGCAACCAACACTATTAACTTACTAAATGTCGATGCAGAACCAAACCATTTGGACAACCAGAACTACATTATTTCTCATCATTAAACGTTATCCATCCATTCGTTATCACATGAGATACAACCTATCGCTCACTTAACCTTGTACTGCGCGTGCATCGTAGCTAGTTGTTTACTTTAAACGCGGAGATACTTGGGATAACTTGCTGAACATGTCAGACGATCAAACCTAAACTGAACGACTTTTTATAGAACAAGTATTCACTACCTGTTTGTACGTCATACTCCATTAAGGCTTTCCAGACCGACTTCAAAGTGTACCCCTGCCTTACTTGAGAAGATGTTCCAAAGGAACTAGATGAAAAATTTTCTAATAGCGTTTTCAGTCATGCGAATACTGCTGCAATGCATCAGCCACATATTTCAGCGTCCCTGTAGGCTAGAATGCCTTTTTTATTCACCAACGGTGAATAACATATCAACTTGTAGTTGGCTCAGGAACTTTTGTTTAGAGCGTAACTCAGCAGTGACTGCCAACCATGATGGAGAAGACGGACCAGAAAACGGTATCAATTGGATGAATGGATTGGCATGAAAAATGTCTTTGAAGTTTACTATGTACCCGATCAAAATAGAGTGGGTGGTCCCTTGAACGCGTTAAATAGTTAATGTCCGGAGATGAAAAAGCTGAGAAAATCAGGGGGAAAGGACCTTAATAGCATTTCACACACGAGCAATCCCTTGCCAAAGCTCCTGTAATGATGCTTTTAGTGCCGTGCGAAGACCAATTCAGTGTATGTGATCGGATGTCAGGAACACAACTCACTGGGCTAACGTCGCCTTTTCCCAGGTTACGCATGGCATCGAATTTGGGAACGAAAGTCCCTATTTCTAACTAACCTGGTTTTGGAACTAGTACCTGGAGCTCTTAAGCAAGCTGGGTACTATTTTCACATGTGTGTACACTGAATCTCGAAACTACAAACGCATTTGGTGACTATCTGGAATCGGGTGCATTCACTAGAAACTTAAGACACTAAGCTGAGAAGAGGCGGCTGACCTTACTAGCGCTGCATGTTGGTTCATTCGAAATCCGAAACTTTCATTCAACGGAAAGCGTCTCAATTTTTGTTGTTCATATGATTTCCGCACAACTTTTCGAAAAAAGTAACGCTGTGGGTCATTAGGATTGAATGAGAACCAGGTCTCACACTGTGAAATAATCAATCAAGTTATGTGACTAGGTAGTGTGACCAGCTTCCGAAATTGCATGCTCACTTATAACCAAGATTTATCCCAAAAATACTACTAAGCGGGTATCCTGCTATCAAAAGCGTTAGATGTACATGGGATGTACCAGTGCGGCCAGAGAAGAGTGAGGTACCTCCGTCTTTATCAGAAGGCTCATTAATACACAGGCTGCGCCAGAGAAGATCAACGACTGGGAAGCATGGGTCACATGGACGTGATTCACTGGGTGTTCTTGGTACACAACAGGATGGGAGTATCAAGTACGGTTTTGAGATGGATTTTAGGGAAAGGGGAGGCTCATAAGAGTTTGAACGGACGAATTTCTCATAAATGAGTTACCGACTTCGTCTCACACGTATGCAAAATCTGGACTCTTAAGCTAATGAAAACACGAAAATTGCCACCTGTGTCTCCATTATGTGGATCCACATTAACCGCATGATTACTGGATGACAGCCGCAAACAACGGATGACTGTGGTGACTCAAGTGCTACAAAAAGGTACGCGGCGCACTTCCAATATTACAGTGCCTCTCTGAGTAATATTAGTCATCCGCACACATGTTCCCTAAGTGATAGCGTGTCTGTCCAGTGAGCGTAGACACCATTTGCAACATTCGGGAAGTGTACTCAGTTTTAATCCGCCGATACTACTGTAGTAGCTGGGCCCGACGTATCATGGATGAACCGATTACTGTTGATGACTAGGATGAGCTGAGTTTGCATTTACATTGAGGATGGTCGATGCGTAGGTGAAAGTGAACTTCAAAATATCCATGGAACAAGGTTATTCGATGGATTGGATTCGGTCCAGTAAACGTAACAGGTAGAACCATATCACTCTGCCAAAATACTGCACTGTGTGAGCTTGCACTAAAAGTAGGAGATCAAGTTCACTAGTGGACTAGTGAGGATATTACACCCATCGGTAAAACTAAGTCGACTATTAGGAAAACCGGTTCATCTTCCCAAATTAACCACTTTGGCACCAATGGACGACCACTTTCAATCAAATCAGTGTTCAGCTGCGAAAAAAACAGGAGAATGCCATGTAACCTGAAGGAAGATGGTCATCCGGGGAGAACAGCTATATGAGATTATACCACTTCACCAAGGCCTTGACCCAAAACAGCGAAGATAAGTGAGCACGCATGAACGGATTTGTGGGGTGAACCAATACAGTCCAACTCCGAGCACATTCAGTGAACATGAATCAGGAGTAGGATGGTAAAGTCTAATTACATACCTCAATGCAATTTTACCGACTTCAGAAAACGGCTGAAATAGAGCAGCTGACAAAATTACGACACAATAAGGGTTGTGTCACCTTCCTCCATTTACCCAATTTCTAACGTTCAGCAATCCCGATAGCTGCCACGACATTCCTGAGCAGTGAGAATGGAAGTGGAAGACTAAACAACTTGTTCGCTCGCTGCACACAACCCGTTGTCTGCTCTCTTCTGGTCCTTTTGATCAATAAGTGAATGACCTTGATGAACCAATACCATCTCAGATGGCTGCCTCCACTGAGAGGCCTTGACTACTAGCGCCATAACGACAAATCCAAGAGTCCTCGAAAGAACTGTTTTAGGAGAATGCGTTGAGCGTCCGGTAAAAACGGTAGATCCAGCGAATTGATGCTATATAGCAACCAACTGAGGCATGCTCTGGTGATGTACTATTCAAAAGGATGCTGAAAACCATTTGACAAACTTACAAGTAGTGTTTGTTGAGGGAAATATACTGTGATATCTCGAATATCATCATAAATGGAACGTGAAGCGGCGTTTGCGCAGCGCATTCAACTGGAAAATACTTCAACTGAGATTCACTTGAGTCTCCCGTTAAAAACCAAATTAATTTGTTAATGAGCGCATTATGTAATGTAATGTACTCCTAGACTTTGCAAAAGCCAAGGACAGCAAAGTCTTCAAATAGTGGGACTATACAACCGGAATCACTGATAATTCTCGCATTAAAACCTTTATATACCAAGAAATTATGCACCGAAATTCAACAATGAATAAAATATGTGCGCAACAGCAGCACCGTCATCAACCTTTGGTGGGAGAAATCGATCTGTTGGGTCCCTTTTCCAAAAACATTGTTTTTCCACTGTTTATTTTGACTGAGAAGAACTGGAGTTTTCATTCATCGTTTCAGAAATATTCAGCACCGTAGCTTAGGCCAAACTGTCATTAGCATCTCTTATCATCTAACTGCGCCGATTAAAACCTGCTTTACAACAATGGACCCTTCGCCACTGCAAAAATCACGATTTAAGGTAGGGCTTATTCAGTTGCCAAATATTGTAAACCTTTTTTATCCTGTACATAAATTGGACCGGATATTAAGTACCATTTGGCAGGCATTCGGGTACTGAAAGGTAAGGAACATAAGTGGCAAAAGATGAAACATGGATGCAGGCCTACGAATTAAAATGACCTCAAAACCAGTAGGTACATACTTTTATCCCCACCGCTCTCGGAGTATATGGAACCATCATTCACAAAAAAACAAATTGAGAAGCCATGTTGACATGCTGTTTCCCATTGGTTTAAAAATGTTTCCTATCTTGAGAAACGAATTAAATACTGTCAAGTAGTAGTTCGCATCCTGAATCCTGGGATAACTCATTTAATTGTCAAGATAACAGCGCATTGTAAAGTGGGAACGGAATGCTATTCCACTGCACTGCCTTGTTGCTTCATCAGACCGAAACAACCGCGTCGATAGTAAACACGAAACTGTCCCCTACTACGTCACACACTAGCTCTGCATTTGTGTAAATAAGCGATTCAGCGTAACACAGCATCTCGCCAAATGGTGATGGTGAGATTTCCACCCTAGGAAACGAAAAACTGCATTGTTTGTGTTGCTAAAAATCATGGCGCGGATCCAAAAAATCTTTCATGCAAATAAACAAGAGCAAAACCAGCAGGTAGGGGAACGTGCTGTGAAACCCATGAATAATAACTTGGACAGCACTGAACAGCCAGTCCAAGGCTTTATATGCAAATGGAATAACGACAAACCAGCGTATCACTCAAATAAGCATCCAGATTGTCGTTCGCACACTTACAGCGATCAGGCTGATGAATAAGTCTGCCGAAATCGTGGGTAGCTCGCGCTTTGCCACATCTCCATCAGTGGCGCACGCAGTAATTATCTGAGAATGTGGGACGCTTCGTCCATTCGATTCATTAGGTTTCGCTTGCCGTGGATTGACAAATTGTAACATATCAATAATTACTGACACCAAAGGCGTGAGCATTTCCGGTTGATGGGTTATTGGCACACCTTCTCTTGTCAGAACCGCACGATAGTCTGATCGGTCCAAATTTTGTTCGTCATCCATGACGCGTACTAGTTGTGGTGGCCGGAATTTCAGTCGAGGATGCACGGGGCATATGGTGAGAGGACGATTTTCCAGCGTATCTGTCGTACTGTTTGATTGAGTAACAAACGATAGCGTTGTTGGGGGTAGTTCAAGCCACTGCCGAATGATGTTCAGGTGACCCGATCGAGATTCTGTGACACACGACAGCAAACGCGAAAGGATTCCTAGGAGCAATGACCTAGAGCGCAAAAACACAACTTGATCATCTTCACAAAAAGTAAAGAGGCTTCAGTGATTGAAAGTAAATTGAGGATATCAGCCAGAAAGTTCCACCAAAGATTATGGCCTGTTTGACCTCTAAAACCAATCCGATTCGGTCAGGAATACTTCTGTCCCGTTCCCAAGATCTCCAGTAGACTATCCAGATAGTTTTTTTCTGAGGCTGAAACCCTAATAATTCTGCGAGTCATTATTAAGCTATCCAACACGCCAACATTTTGGCACTTTCAGTGATCTATTTCAGCCTGCAGCCCTTTGGTCTGTTGCACTAGTGCGTCTCCCTGAGCGTATAACCAGTTATTAGCTGAACTGCAAGCAACAGGCAGCAGCAGCAATAGTCACTGCTTATGAAGCCTTCTACGAGACTGGTGGTTTCGTTATTTTCGAGCCACGGAACATCATTATACCGGACGCGGACATGAACAGTAGCAGAGAGGTAAAGTGTTGTATGCGTGTCTTTGTACTTTAAACGTCTTTTAAGACCTTCGTCTACCTGACTAGGAAGATGCAGGACATGTGACTGTTACTCATGAACCCACAGCATATTTCTACACGAATCTGTGAAGTGACTCGTATTACGGTACACATCAAGCGATGTAAATAGCAATTCCAGAGGTTTTCCACCGCGCAATACAGCAGTACTTGGATGCCGCATGGTTCAGATGGGTGCAAGCGCTCAGAATGGACTTACCATCAATTTGACGCAAGCAAATTTATCACTAGCCTAATTCATCGCCCGATTGTTTCATCACGAGCCGGTTAAGACCTGCTTCACTCGGACAACTTGGAAATGTTACCGCATTTGCCTGCTTCTCAAGAGTTATGTGACTTTAGGATTTATTGGGCACATGGAGATATAGCCAAATTCAGACACTGACGCATATCGAGAACGCACCATTCCACGCTGACCAGACTGGTGTGCGAACTTATTTTAGATCCATTAGACTGACAGCATGTGAGTGCAGTCGTCTGCGCATCATGTCCAAGCGGAGAGACCTTTTGGCGTAAGCATGTGAGTAGTGTACGCCGTCATGACGCACGGTCCTTGAGTATAAAAAAACAGCCCGAATGGTAGCATCAAAGAAGACACAAAGAGTACAGCTATTGTTCTGGATTGTCTATCCGTAAAACGTCTCGATGAAAATGAATGATTCAACTTTGCAATGGTAAGATGGTGGTGACTTGCACGTGCATCTACTTTTAGATGGTATTTAAGAATCTGGCAACTCACGATTATACATGTCTAGAAAAAGATCGGTTCACTATCTGCATCAATCATCCGCCCGCAGACAGTCCTATGTGCTTTAAAAAACACCAAGTCAAGCGTGAAGCAAGTTCAAGGGTGAAGAGGAAACACGAAAACGGATGAGTGTATTTCAGCAAGAGTTTCTAGACTTTTTAATTCATATTTTTGATAGCTTTCCGTTTTCTGTTTTCCTAGTTGATGGTTTTTAGAAACCCATTCGGCTGTGGACTGGACTTGCAATGTAATTCGCAAGTTAGATTGTGTCATCGCGGGTTTCGCAGACCAGAACATATCTTACAAACTTTGACACGACTAAGTTCACGATGAGGTGGTTTTTGTGTTCTCAGTTGTTACAGGGTGACTGATCTCGCAACAGAGTAGTCTAGTGACAACATGGCTTGCAGTGGATCGATAGAGTACTGCTTCCAGCTTTCACCGCTAATAAAAATGTGGTTAAAATGAGATTAATTGTCGTGAGCTGCCGAGTTACCCGGACGAAATACGAGAATCGGGTTAACATCAAGGTCCGATAAGGAGGACATGACAAAATGAACCAATGGATGATAGACGGTGCGAACAGAATCCTGAATTTTATCGACATTTACAGGTGTGATCCCTACAACAAAACTAAACATCGGCTAACCGACAGACAACCTGGGATGAGAGATTCGACTTGTGATAAGCTTTCGTCATTTTCCAATATGATCCTCCCGAGTATTAGTGGTAGCTAAGATTTGGCAGGAGACGTCGTCTAGTTTCGATTACTAGCTTTTTCTCTATTCTACTCCATCTATTTCCGTAATTTTCAGTCCTGTTCTACTTTCCCCATTCTATTCCACTTTATCATATCCCAATCCATTTTATTCTGTTATACAAGCATCATGCAAAAGGATAGTGACAGATTATTATCGCTAGTTTGCGCTACAATTACTTAGTAGCACTTTTGCTTGTCCCGAATCTTTGTGTGCACTTTTTTCCCAATAGTTTGGTACACCACTTGAACACTTGGTTGTGCGTACTAGTTTGTGTGTTCATGCACCATATTGACGCAGAAAATGTTATGACATCGCCAGTTTAATCTGCTTAATCAGGCCGAACTAAGCTGAAATAAGTGTTTAGTAGGTGACAGAAGCAGGGGTTCTGTGGACTACTGCGCTGTGTGAGACAGCTGGTGGAGATTCGCCGAACAGACGTGCAATAGAATATCTAGGATGAGGGAATTAGGGAATGTTATTGCTAAGATCGCTGAAACTACTGTCCCTGGAATCGATCGGATACATTTGAAAACGTAACGCTTCCTAGCCGGAAGTGATGGAATATATGCAATGGTGAGGTGGAGACCAACGAAATAAATCATTACTGCGAAAGCCTGGCTGGCAGATAACGCGCATCGCCCACATCCCAGTGCGATAACGTAAGGCAAACTGCTGCTCTGGTGTGATGTCGAAAGCGGGATATAAAACCGAGTGGGATGCGAGCACCGTAGAGCGCACACTGCTGTTGCCTCACACCTACAAATATCAGGCAATTATAGGGGAAACGAGTAATCGCTGCCAGTGAGATGTTTTCCTGGGGAGCAAGTTGAAACGCAAAATCGGACAACCCGTGATGAATATTGTGAATAGACGCTCTGGATTTGCAAAACAAAAGCGCGTGGTTAGTGCTAATATGTAACATTCCACATAATATTTTACAGATATGACCAGCAATGCCAGGTCATTGAATCAGCCTGTATAAAGCCATAAACAAGTCAGGAGACGAAATAGTAGTTCTTGTTATGTGTGGGCTACGTGTGCACATTAACGACATGACGTGTATCATTCTTCCTAATGTTAGATACCATGAATAGTCTTAGATCGATGGAAAGTAGGCAAGGGCTTCTCACCAAACTCAGTGTGAACGCACCAAGTCTTTTGGTCAAAGGTAAGTCTACTTGAGTGGAATAACAGCGTAGCACGCCTTCGTAGGCGCAAAATATGAATAGATTCCTATAAGCCACCCGGAATACACTCCTTTTGTTTAGAGAGAATGAGTAAATTAGGTGGTTTCCGAAAATCGCAAATTACGAGAAACAAAAGCATAACATGAATTTAGAAGATAGGATGCAGTTAACGTGGCCTGTGTCCACAGAAAATCAGGAATTAGTTCGAATTCCAGACGCGCACATCAGCAGTCAAAATAAGCCGAGAAGAAGGAGGAAGTAACGGCATTCACTGCAGTCTAACGCACACAAACATTCATAAGGAACACGATCGCGTTGAATTAGTTCGAATTCCAGACGCGCACATCAGCAGTCAAAATAAGCCGAGAAGAAGGAGGAAGTAACGGCATTCACTGCAGTCTAACGCACACAAACATTCATAAGGAACACGACTCGCGTTGAATTGCAATTATTGAATGTTGGAATATTGAGCTCAAAGAGACTATCGTGCCAAACAAGCAGACGGTATGCGATTTCAAACGTCTGGATATGGAAAAACAACCACTAATTAGAGATGTTAGAGTTCATGATGACAGAGAAAAGAACAACACCAGTTAGCACAGTCGCACGCCATTTTCTCGTCACTAACTTTCGTGCTTCATGAAGAGTCAAAATGAGCCAATTGAGGGCAACCTGGCTATCAGTTTGCCCACATTATTCATCAATCTTGGTGAGTGACCTAAATAACTTTACCTAGTGAAAACCTGGTATAAAAGATCGTATACGTCATTACCACCGCATTCTCAAGACGTAATCTAATTATCGCAGTTGATGAAGATCCATGTGCCGAATTTCCGTATTCTTTATTTCACCAAAGACTTGTGGAAAGATGACCTCAGACCAAATTAGTGGAATCGTGCTGGAGAAAATTTATGAATATAGAAGTTACACAGGTATGCCGAAAGTGAAGTATGCTTGAAACGTACTTGAGGGAACTAGTTTGATTGGTGCTCTGAGAGGATTGGAACGAGAACTCGGGATTTGTGTCAACGTCGTCGGAATCTGCTTTGATTTGCACAAGTAGACAAAATAACGGTTGGGATAGCTCAAGCGCTTCGAGGAGTACAGTCTGGGAGGGCGTTGGAACGGCAAGAAGCTATCAGGGATAACAAAGAGAATAGGTAGTACGTAAATTCTATTAGTTCACAGCGTACTTTCAATGACAAGGGTGTTACATACAAAACGATGCACTCAGGAATCCTTAATCAGCAACTTACAAATGTGTTCGGCACGTCTCCACGATTTCGAAGGGGCCGTACTAGCCATGTCTTTTCGTGATGCGTATAACATGGGCATGATTAAGACTGTCAGCCTATATTTAAAACCATTCAGAGATAATCCCTACCCCGATTTCTACTGCATTCGAGGAGGAGTATACAGCGAGTCGGTGCATGATTTTGAATTGCTTACAGACACTAGCTTCCTAATCCTGTGTCCGCTGGGAAGCCTCATAAGGATTCTACCATCAAAAGTGCCTGAGTTGAGATGAGTATGAAGCAACTTGGTGCGAATATCCCACACGCTATGGGCACTTTAAAACTAATTGTTCATACCGTTCTGTTCAAACAGTTGTGCGGCAGTTACCGAAAACGGTTAGCAGGCCATTTCATTGAGTGATTGCTCGGGTATTAACACTACGTAAACGGGCATACAAAATTGGCAACATCTGACAAAGTGATGAAGACAAGGAGGGAAGGAATGTGATCACGTTAGGCAAGTCAATTTAAAAACAACGTTTCTGACAGACAGGTAAGGATAGAGGAATAAAAACCAGTTGCAACTGATGAATAAGTAGATAAGCACGGCACTTCTTTTGATGACGACCTCCTGGTGCACAGTCGAGGTTTGGGCTACCGATTTACTCTACTACCAGAGTAAAATCTAATCTACGGACCTTATCTACTCTAACGCGTCCTCGAATTCTTACGAGCCAATACAACCGCTGCAATCTGACTAAAAGATGCAAAGATTAATATTGACAGCTCAGTGCAGTTTCTGGTTGGAGTCGTTACACGGAAAGGCATTATAAAGGGAAGTACTGTACCTCATGCAGACTATCTAGGAGGGCCCTTCATTTTTGTCATGTTTCGCATGCTGACTGAGTTAACAGATTTAAACATGCGGTAAATGAAGATTGTTTATCAGATGCGTCTAAGGCAACAAGTGTGACCTGCTGAACCAGGTTTGCAGGATGTCGACAACTAGGTTTTCGACGAATTCCGTCTCACCAAGAACTTTAGCCACCACTGAAACGGAATAGTTGTATTTCACTCTGGGCGTGGTTTGCGAATTATGTTGTGAAAACGTGCTGCACAACTAGAGATCTAGACAGATTTGGTACAACTCATTAGTGAATCATGCAGTGTATTCACAAAAGATTAGGTTTTCTAGCGAAATACACTGATTTTCAAGCCAATTTGGTTTTACGAGAGACTCATCTGGAACCCAGCTGAATCTCTCGTTTATGATGTTTTCAAGCTAATCGGGTTCAAGTAAAACGTAAGGTCAACGGAAACTCGGAGACTGTGCCTACCTGATGAGGCTTAAGAAGGTGAAAATGGAAGTGGGCTTTTGAAGGATTTTCATCAACCTTATGAGTAGTGTAGTGGGTTTTCTACTTTAGAATAGGAAACGAAACCATTTCATGCGAAGGGTTATAGCAGTTGAGAAAGTGATCATGAGCAGGATTCCGATAAGATCAACCGTCAAGGAAAAGATTGACAGCTGTAAAAGCAACGCTGCAACAAATGCGATCGTGTAGCTGCGTATAAATACTGAGGGTCCACTGTCCAGGCTTGGAGTTGAAACGAACTGACGTCATTAGCATAACAGATACCAATGTGCTAGTGTGCCCAAAAAAAGTCCACTTGGAGTTAATCAAAGCCCACCATGTTGAAAACCTGCAAGGTGGGTCAAGCCTACAATGAATGAGTTTTACGAATTCATAGCTTATTTTTTAGGTTCGAAACATATGAAGTTCGAGTGACGCCACGACACCAGAATGGAAAAGAAACGAATGATACATGTCCGAAAAAAAGAATCTCCAAATTCCAGGTTACAACAACCTAATCACATCAATCTATAGACCACACGCGACTCAGTTTAGTTCCTAATGAGGTGAAAAGTAAAATCACGTGAAATGCCAAACGAATAACAAGGAAACTAGGAGACTTTGACCAAGAACCTTGGCGATGAGGTACAACACAGAACTATTAAGTGTAATGCAAATAATAGGGAAAATCACTGACAGTGCGATTAAACGTTTGGTGGATTTACCGCTGGGAAAACCTGTGATTTTGGGATGGTAAACCCGGTTCAGAAGATCGGAATTTTCTTTAAAAAATAGTTGCAAAGGAATTAGGGAATAGGACCAAATTGGGAGCTGAAGACGATCCACACAGGGAAGTGAATGCACCTGACTGGACTGTGAGTAAGACATTGTTTCACTTTGTGGAAGACAGTCTGTATACAAAAAAGTCCAAACATGTCCACTTTTCGAAACCACAAAGATAGCATCCGGTGTCGCTTGGAAACATCTGATGCATTCGGTTAACTGAATTCGAATCACGTCGGATAACTGGACGACGTTATGTGGTAGACCAGTCGTGAAAGCCACGTTGTTGGTTTCATATAGAGAATACAGGCTAATTGGAAAGTAGACGCCGACCAGTTTTCGGCTGAGATAAGCCTAGTCCCTTGAAGCAAGAGTAAACCACCTCTCAGAAAAGAGCTCCATTGATCGGTCCCCTCGAATGACCTTTCCAAATGGGGACAATATTTATTGTGCACGGGTACGGTGTGGAGGGGTACAATATGGAGTGTACCGAATCTACCTCCTCGTAAAAGGATGCAGCCCTCAAGAAAAAAATAGTGACGAAAAAGTACAGCAGTCACACACAAAACAAAACATATATCGGTGAAGTATATCAGGTCACTTTCGTACATGTGAGTCCGGTATAAACTAATACCTTACCAGAAAGAAACGTGAGTATTGTCGGCGCATAAGAAAGTTTACCGACGATCTATTAAGGTAGGATCAAATACATGTTCATTTTCATGGAGATCTGTCCAGTTACAAACAGCGAAACTAGGAAAGGTTTCCTGGAAAGAATTCATCTTCTACTGCTTATAAGGATCATCATAAGGGCTTGCTCGGACGTAAACCAAGTAAAAGGTGGTCGGTTGTCCGTAAAGAAGCGAAAAAGCAATTTATGAAAACTGCGTGAATGTATCTACGTCTCCTCGAGTATCCCAAACGGGAAAATAACTATGGTTAATTTTCTAGCTTCGACATTTGCATGCCCCTCACCGACCGTATCGTGATCTGAAACCAGGTCTTCTGATATGCGAAGCCAATGGGTTTCACGTATGTCGGGATTACCCGAACAATCCTTACCAGAGACAAGAATAAGTACGCCCTTGAGTGACGTACATCAGGCAACTGTGCACATCTATGTATGAGCTAGAACAAGGGATAAACCAGAGCGTCTACCGTCAACACTGACCGAACAAAGACACCGCACCCGGACAATCACAATCAGTAACGGACAAATAAGATGATGAGTTGGTTCGACCTTAGTAAGCAAAAAACGGTTGATTTGGTGAACACTTCAGTCGAATGTTGACCATCTCTATTTTCCCCAACACAGTTCACTTGATCCAAAGGTTACCAAACTGGCAATGGTGTCCGGGGATCCTCAAACTCGCATCACCAAACTTAACCGGGTAATGCTGTCAAATTGGCAAACTTGAACCAGCATACATAATCAGAGTTTAATCAAACGTCCCGGGTATTTGATACGAACCAATAAAAAAACTATGGCTTACATCTCTCAGGACATCAAGTATCTTTCTCAGCTCAGCAGCTGTGACCAGTTCACATTCATCGGTTAAGTCCGGGACAGTAGAAGCTACAAGAGAAAAATACGAAAAACCATGGATTAACAGAAGTGGGTTCAGGTACATGTGATATGGACGAAAACACACCTAAAAACGGCCCATGAACCAAGTGGGTTGATTACGAGTGACACACTGAGAATAACTGAGTAAAAAGATAAGTTCAGCATCACAGTGAGATTTTCACCGTCGAAAATGCTCGGAGAAGAAAGAATAGCCGAAAAAGGTTATCCTTAAACTACGGTCGGCACATCAGATCTAACCCTCAGCAGCTACCGAAGCATGAATAGGACACGTCCCACAGAACATAACCGATTACAAACGTGGAACCAACTGAGAAACCCTTGCACAAAGGAAATACCGATAGTGCACCAAAAATGCAGTTTGTATAAATGACCATCTGATACGAAGATGAACCCTCAAGGAGTGTTTTGAATCATAGGTCAGGTTTGCTCAATCGAAAAAATAAATGTGAACTCAGGCTTCGATGGACATCTGAGGAGTACCGACAAAAAGACAATTGAGGAAAATTAGGGGGCTTCAACAGTATTTCGTTGAGCATGGTTATGTGGTAGGCCAGGTGGGATGAATGAAGCATAAAGTGCTCAGACAATATTCATGTATCCATCACCTTACAGTAAGTGAGCTAAACGTGCGATTGCCACTCATTAACAAGAGATCCAATCAACGCTCGTTTGAATCTCTCTTTCGGCGTGGATATGAGCCGTCAATGCGATCCATGTGCAAATTGTGCTCGAGTACGATGGGAAAAATACTTGGTAGAATCTGGGGACAACACCCATCCCGTGAGGCCAAACAGGATAAAAGTTATACCTGGAAAAAATACCACTCTTGTCAAGCCATCAATAAGGGTTTGTTTTGCCTTAGAACCAAAAAATACAGCACGGTTATGACAACGAAAAATGACAGTGGACAGCGAGTGTCGAATTGTTCAACGACAAAAGGTGTTCTTTATGGAAAGAGATACGACTAGACAATGATACGTCCGTTTTGAGAAAGTACGGCGTTTAACTGTCTTGTGAAGCGAAATATGTAAATTCTGGATTTTTAATTATTGCTTCTCGTTTCACAGCGCCACAAACAGGGTTTTAGTAAGTGATACACCGTTTCGTGTGGTGGCATCGATCACATGCTAGAAAAGAGGAAAATCAATTGCTGACTCAGACAACCAACCATACCAGAGTGGACAAGTTTCATGAACGGTAGTGAGCAGTATCGACAAATGCATTCATTTGCAATCAATTTGTCACATGCTAGAAAAGAGGAAAATCAATTGCTGACTCAGACAACCAACCATACCAGAGTGGACAAGTTTCATGAACGGTAGTGAGCAGTATCGACAAATGCATTCATTTGCAAATCAATTTGGTTTTCACGGGAAATTCAACTGAATCTCTCGTTTATGGTATTCTTCAACTGAATGTGCTGCACAAAAACCGCCTCAGGGTTCAGTTGGCTTAATTGAAATGGGATTCGGTGTGTAGAGGTTAGCGAAAAAGGCAGGTCGGGGGTTGTGGCGAAGAAAAGTTTTGGAAACCTCTTCCGTTAGGGGGCTGGTCGTTCTGGTAGTGAACTCCATCATGTGCCATATATTTCATCAACTTTCTACAAGGACGGTTGACGAGACCACTCAAAAACGGTGGCTGGACTATGTAGTGAATGTTGTGACCCAGCGTTTGAGCGTGGATCCAACTATACCCACGTATACAATTTTGTGTCCTCTATATTAAAGTTAATCGAAATCTGCCGACAACCCCTTGACGGTTTTGTCCTGTTTGAGGCCTGTTAGATAAGCCCAGTCCTTGAATTTTAAGAATCTTTTGCATTACTTGAACCAGAATAGTACAATTATTGCACGCAAAGTTGCTCATCAAACTGTTACGAGCGGGAGAAAAAACGATATTCGAATCAGATACTCGATTACGAAAGTACATGGAAAAGGTAAACTTGTGAATAAGCTGGGATAATATTCAGGATATTGAGTTAATATAAATAAGAAATTCACCGATATACTACTGAAGGCTTCGCGCTACTTGGTGCCCATTAGGTGGACGATAGATTCAGTCGGAGCTCATCTAAATCCGACATTTCGAGCTCAATGAGATGTAAATCTAGTGCACAAATTGCAAGATAAAAAGCTGGTGAAAAACTGATTCCAGAGATATCACAAGAAGATTTTACAAGCTCGGAGAGATAGCGGGCACAACAGAGGGTTGGGGAGGGGTTTGACCATTCACCTATACACATACCTATACTTTCATCGAGCCTGCGAAGCTGAAAAAGTTCGGAGACCTCTGGTTCACAATAAATGCGAATCCCTATTCGAACGGACTAAGTTAACCGGAAGGCCTGCACAACCGCCCGAAGCTAGAAATTTTGTTGCACACAATTTAGGTTAAGCAGTGCAACAAGCAGAACAAGACATCCAACAACCGAAATTTCCTTTATAAAAGCGGGACGCAGCATGCGAACAGCCCGGAAAAAGGAGAATACACAGGGTCTTGGAAACTCAGTTCTGCCAGAAAATCTGTCCATAAATTTTGTGTACTCAGGTGTAGGTCGACGAGCCAGGGTTTCGTCACAGGAAAGCACCAGCAATCTGTATCTTTCTCACAGCTATTGTGGATGTTTTATCGAGTGAACGAAGGGCATAATACAGCTGGGTGAGAAGTATATCAATCAAACCCAAGGTCTGATAGCTTTCTTAACGAAAGCTGCTGTTGTAATGAATCTTTGGAAGACATGCAACTGTCGGTAGACAGTGAACGCACTGGTCCCTAATTACCAAAAAGACAAAGTATTGGACTTACTCTCGGCAACAGTAGGAGTAGAGACATCGTCGGGCCGGATGACTAAGCGCCTTAGCATGCCAATAAGAGGAGAAAGGTAGAGCTGCTTTCCTAGATCGGGATAACGTGTGCAAAATTCATGGGCCGTAGTGAGTGCCACCAAGTAGGCAAACTGAATGAGAGAATCGGACATTTTATTCTGATCCGTGGAAGTGTTGAATTGCCTTTGTTCCTTTAGGTCGAATAGTTCCAATATCTGAGACATACAGAGAATACGGAACAGTGAGGTTAAGAAACTCAAGCCAACATGACAAGTCACAGACATTGATGGCGATAATAAGTCGCATACGAAAAACATCGAAAAACGGCATAGACTAAAGAGTAAAATAACCTCATATGGAGGACAGAGGTACAAACACAGTCATGAGGCAAAACAGGTGAATGAGAGGCACGGTGACAGACTGTTATGATAATAGGAGCTACAAAAAGCAAAATATGACCGGCTGAAAAGCAATCTTGGAACACAAATATACATTCTTCTGGAATTTGTAAGAATCGTCCCATGCGTTTTAAGCGCACAACTGGAGGTCCTAGTCACTATTGCATATAGAACTTCGCAGGACAGGGCCACGCTCAACTTGGCCTGATTTGGGTTGGATTATTACATGTGAAACCGCTGGTCATCTATATTTGTTTCGATGTTCAAGGGGGCATAATCCCGAAGGTAGACAGTCTAGGCTGTTGTCCAGGAAGCTCCAGATTGTGACCCACTCAAAGGCTTTGGTTTTAGTCCCTGGATTTTCTTTAAGCAACTGCAGTAATCATTCACTGAACAGCAGTGATAAGAGGTTATCAACTGTACTGTCCCTGTAGCAAATCTGAACTGTTCTACCTTGTTTACTTTACAGAGTGGCTTGTCATTGGGACAAATCATTCTCTATAACTTGACAATATCGTTGAACAAAAAATTGTCGACAATTTGGGAAAATGTACCTGACAGTACAAATCACGAACTCGTGTAAATTGAGTACCGATGTATTGCCAGATTGGCTCATAAACGCTCAAAGCCTCAGCACTTCGCCTACCTGCTGATCTAAGACAGCTATTTATCTAGTATGACCCACAAATGTTATAGTCGACATGAGAAGCCTTTCCGACGGTTGATGGGCAGTCAGAAGAGTCCCACCACAGAGGTACTGTGGTATTACTCCAGAACTGAGAAACAATAAAAGGCCAATTGGTGACTGAACGTGATGAAGGACAGGAAACGGGGGTGAAGCGGATAATTGGATATTCATGCGAAACGGAGAAAAATGCAATCACTCAACTGAGAGACCCAACTGGAAACAGCTAATTGTAGTGAAGAACAACTAAGTGGCGCGTTAAGACTATCAGCACAGACCTGGGCCGCAATGGCTGAATTGTAATCCAGTTGAACCACACCAACTGATTGTTCTGCTGGCTTGATTAGAAAAGACGGCGTGGTGGTGAATATACTGGCCAGAGCTTGGGCAACAGCAGGTTGCAGTCGTGGGTCGAGAGAGTTTATGCATCCAGCAGAGGAAGTGGATGAAATTACTCCGGGCGCAAGGGAAGCGGTAGCCAACAGCAAGTCCTTCACACCCGATCTAGCAGGAGCCTGAGTGAACCCATAGGGACGCACAAGTAACCGAGACAACAGCCCTCCACATATCTTTTGAAGCCAGCGAGGAGCTGACGGTAATTGGACGGAACCTTTAACCTGAAGATGATCGAAAGAAGGTGAGGGCGAAGTATCGTCCAAACTTCACATGTGCGCATCAAGCTTCACTTAACGGGACACAGAGTCAAACTGAACCATAGAAAGTATATACACTGCTAAATGAGCGCGACTGTTTATCAAGTGTTACATCAAACCATATGAATTTCCCAAAATTGAGTGATTGAAAGTATGATGGGTTAGCCATGATCGTGTCCACCAACTAAGAGAAAGGCGATGGTAGTATGAGGAGATTTAGTGACAATCATTTGAGATTTTGTTCTGTAAGTGGAGGCGATCTATGTTGAAAAGCCAAGAAGCGCTATACGGTTGTTTCAGCCTAATTGGGAATCATCTGGGGCAACTGATGCAGCTCCTGCAACCGTTGACTAGCAGCCAGACCGTTTTAATACGGTCAAAAGCTAGAAAACACAGAGTTGACCTTTTCCGTCGTGTTTTCAGTTCACGACCAATTATGGTACCCTGCGCTCAAGCCTCCTCCATGCTAAAAATCCACACACATGAGAAAGCAAAAATAATGATTCAGCTGTGGCTCTAATTCGCAGTATGGCTGTTGTGCAACTTAACGTGAATACGAGAGTAAAGTTACCCAAGCCCAGGCACCAGCAATAAAAAAGGCAGGGTTGGGTTCGAACCACGGACCTCCCGGTAAGTAGCTTCGCAGAGCTATCTCGATTTCATATGTCTCGAGGGCATCATACGATATCAAACTGGTTCAATCACATTCTCGGTGATGGTTCTCCCTACTTATTGAGCGTTACGTTAACGAGCACCCCCGTAGTCCTATATTCGCTTGATTCGACGCAAGAGTTGTCGGCAACTTTCCCATCGAGACGTTGTTGAACTGGTGGGTGATAACAAACGAGCGGCTTTGTTGAGGTCGCCCAACAGCATTTGGTGCTACCACGCTACTTGTAATTAAATCCCCAATACCTGTGACTTATTTAGGCCAACCACACTAGCTACACACAATGTCATGAAAAGGGCGACCACTGTTCCTCGATGAATGCGTAACACATTGCAGCAGGTGTCGAGTCTTGTCTCTGCTTAATAGATGTACCGAACATGTGAGTGCACGTCAGATAAAACCATCCGCAAAATACATGACCCAGTTGATTGGTTTATCGTACCCGTCCAGGATTTTGAGACTGACATAGCCTTCAGGAACAAGTGGTTGCACGTAAGGTAAGCAGGGCTAACGGATTTCTAATTCGTTACGAGAGGAATGCTGGCCAAGATTTGTTTCAGAAACTGACCTGTGGAGCGGAAGGACTTTGAGAAACAAACCAAATGCGGTCTCTGCTGAGAGTAGTTTCTGTAGACGACAACTGTCAAATCGGAAGACAGCTACCTTTGGGAGTGGCAGAACGGATTTCCACGCAACTCGAGCATACATTATTTTATTCACATGAATCACGCTACAGCATCTTCCTTGTGAGCATACCAAATGATCCTACGATGCCTGTAAAATGCACTACACGAAAAAATACTTCGCTTCAGACTACCAAATTCAATCCTTCATCACCCAAGATGGGAACTACCGCCTACCGGGTGGAAAAATTTCAAAGTATAAGGCTTCCTATAAGTAACTAGGAGTCGTCACCTAATTGATGATGACTAGTATGAAAACCGTTCAGCTGTGATACCCTTCCGGTTCCTAGCTGTCATGCCACCCGAGGAAGCATGAGGGCTGGGATACTGCCAGGTTGTCCAAGCCTAAACAGGGGAAGTCAAGAGGCAGAGGTCAGGTTCAAACCACGGACCTTCCGGTCAGTAAGTTCGCGCACTGACCACTTGAGCCATTTCGCCCCCTTGTATGAAAAAGGTTAACAGCTAAATGGAACAGGACGAAATGGCTGATAATCGACTACCTATGTGTGAAATTCGGATTCAATAGGCTGAAAAGTGACTGTTGCAACGAGCTCCGTAAATTGCTCTGTACGTTTAGTGGCATACATAGGAGATATACAAGATTTTCCAAAGATGTTACGAGACAACCGGTAGCTCGTACTGTCCCATGGTAGATGAACTTAATCCGTCACGAAGAGACTGGACCTTACCGTGGTGTGACGGTTTGCGCACCTCAGCGATCCATTGAGCTATACTGGAGAGTGTCCCGCGACACTCACAGAGTCTCTCATACCAGGTTGGTCAATGGTTAGAGGTCTGACGAACACAGTCTCCTGGCCCTCCAGGTTGGGGGTTGGAACATGTGGCGACTTGTTCCGTAGAAATGGTAATGCATTTGCATTT